ACCACAATTTGGAGGTGAGACTCATTCAACATATAAACACAAGTACCTTAAGATTAAAGAATTTCAGCATACAGTTAATTCCTTCTTTATACATGACATGCGGTCTACAATGCATCTGTGACTTCTAAAACCTCAGACCTGAGTGTTTTTACACCTACAGTAAGAAAATCATACTCAGTCTATGTGTACAAGTAGTATCACACATTACCATTGTGTTCTATGTAAATGAAAATGTGTATAACACAAATATAACAAATTTGGAAATGCTTTTATTATTAACTTTTATTGCTATTAGGCTGCTAAGCCGCCAGCAAAGGAAGTTAACAGTTGCAGGCCTTGTATTAACAATGCAGTTAGCGCACTAATGCCGAGTTCAGACTGCATGATTTTGAAAGTAGTCGTGTCACAGATGTGTTCACACTGCTTGACTATCTGGGCTAGCGTTTCGTCGCTGCTTTGTTTACACTGCAAGATGGATCAGCGACAGGGACTTTCACATTGCATGACTTTACTATAGGAAGAATCGCAGACAACTTCGTCTAAACTACGTCTCACAGCCAAAAACACGTCGTATATCTTTTGTTATTAACTACATAATGAGAAAGAAGCCTTTAATGGGGTAGAACATGTACATATTTGCTCACCTGGGTTTAAAGGGAATTAGCCATTTCTCCTCAACGTTGATAATAAACTAATTTCTTTCTGTATGAAACGTCAAACAGACACGGCTGCTCCTGAGTCCTGTCAAACCTCCACTAGTTTTTCCTCCATTTCGTGGGTCCAAATAAACCGAAAAAGAGCGCTTTTAACTTCTCCCCCAGCCTCCCGCTGGCCTGCAGCAGGTATACACACACACACACGCAAGTGAATGCTGCTCTCTCATTGGCTGTAGGCGATCGCTGATGTTATTTTCAGTCAAAACTCAATTCACACGGCAGGATTTGAATCGCCGACAGCTCCAGATATTCAGCACGCCAAATATCTCACAGGCATCGGCGACTCATCTGCGATTCTCTCAGATCGCGTCTTTGTTAGTTCATAATGTGTGATTGTCACTCACGTGCACGAGCAGCGATTTGCCTGTGATTTCAGGCATTTGTCGGCGATTTCTCAAAACCTGTCGGCGAGCCAAAATCAGGGCTAAAATAACGCAGTCTGAACTAGACATTAGTGTGTTATTAGCAGTTGGGTTTTTGTTACAAGATGACCACTGATTTTTGCTCTTAGTGAATTCTGTTTTCTCAGAAAATAAGGCGGAGGCCTTCCCTGTCCTGATATCCAACATTGTTCCTCTCTGTGACCAAGCTTTTTACAGGTCATACAAAGCCTGTTTTGTTTGCCTGAGGGTTGACTGCTGTGATCATTTGAGGTTTGAGGGTTTTTCAGACTCTAATGCTTCTACACCATGTGTCTTTGCTGCGCTATGGTGTGGCATCACCTTAATTACTGAAACGGGCAAACTCTTTTGAGCCTTGGCCTCTGAACAAATCATTTCAGATTTATTACAGGTAACTCCATCTGAGAAGTGAACATGCTCTTCAATCCCACAGCTGTTAAGCATTTTTGGAGACACAAACTTCTGTGCTTTTAGCATAGCTTTTAAATCTGCAATGGTGTCTTTTTGACTTCTGCATTTTTCAGCCAGAGCTAACTGTTCAGCTAGTAAATTATAAAGCTGTAACTTGAGATCCAGAGTTTTTGCCTCTGACTTTTCTGCCTCTGATTTTTGAACATCATCAAATTCTACACATCTAGTCTTTATAATTGAAAGTATTTCCGACATTACGTTACGCAGTCTTGAGTAACACATGTAGCTTAGCGCTTCAATTAAATCACCACGTTTTGATTTCTTTCCATTTTTGCAGGGCCTGAGCCTGGTCAAGTGGTGTTAGTGAGGCCAGCAGGGGGCGCTCAACCTGTGGTCTGCTCGAATCCTAATGCCCCAGTATAGTGAAGGGGACACTACACTGTCAGTGGGCGCCGTCTTTCGGATGAGACGTTAAACCGAGGTCCTGACTCTCTGTGGTCATTAAAAATCCCATGGCACTTCTCGTGAAAGAGCAGGGGTGTAACCCCGGTGTCCTGGCCAAAGTCCCTCAATTGGCCCTTACGATCATGGCCTCCCAATCATTCCCATCCACTGAATTGTCTCTATCACTGTCTCTCCACTCCCCCAATAGCTGGTTTGTGGTGAAGCACTGGCGCCGTTGTCCTGTGGCTCCCGTCGCATCATCCAAGTGGATGCTGCACACTGGTGGTGGTGTGGAGAGACTGATTTTTGAACATCATCAAATTCTACACATCTAGCCTTTATAATTGAAGGTATTTCCGACATTACGTTACGCAGTCTTGAGTAACACATGTAGCTCTTTTCAATTATATCACCACGTTTTGATTTCTTTCCATTTTTGCCAATTACATTCCACCATGCAAACAATCTAGAGACTGAGTCTGTTAACTCAAGTCCCTCTTTGTTAAGTTTGCACAATGTAGGTTCAACTTTTTTGGCCCATAAATCAAACAATACATCACTTTCTTTAGAAATTAACCCTTCCATCCTTGAGGAGGTAATCTGAAATTTACCAAATTGAACAACACAATCTCACGGCAATTCGTAACTTTTTCATTTAGTGGCTAATTTGTACAAATTCGTACGTTCTAATTCGTACATTTTAGTACGATTTGCGTATCCCCCAATGACGGTTGGGTTTAGGGGTGGGTTTAGGTGCAACGCCTCCATTTTAAATTCGTACATTTTCTTACGACTGTACTCGTACGAATTTGTACAAATTAGCCACTAAACTGCCAAAACGTAAAATACTTACGTTTTCTCGTGAGATCAGGCTGAATTGAACTATTGAAATGAATTACTGTCTTGTAAATTCTGTTTCATGCTATTTAAGCAAATGGAGGAACAATCAAAGCAGACTTACCCACACTTGTGGTTAGAAGGTCAGTTTTAATCCATTCACCTGGTCAGCTGTGAAAATCCAGCTAAGTAAATTTCAGAAAAACTCACTGCAAAGGATCCCGGTTTCTTGCAACATCTGTAAGAATGGGTTTTAACCACAGCAGTTCGAACTTTAGTTCTGCCGAGCGACTAAAAAGTGATCAGCATAATGGTAAAAAACTGTACATTTCTAGTCAAACCATTCTTCTGCAATCTCCTACCAAAAACGGAATAAGGGCAGTATTAATAGCTATAAATGTGGGAGAGAGTTGATATTATGTGATTGTATTGTATTGCAATATGGAGCAATTAAATGTTGATGTTAAATCAAAAGTAATTCACAAACACTTGAAAATGAGATGATTTAATGACAATAGTTTTCTATGGCTACAACTGAATTAATTACAAAATACTGTATAAAATGCTAAAATATGAAATGATAAAACATATGATATAAATTGTACCCAGCTTAAATGTAAAATTAAAGTTACCAGAGGTAGATGGAGAGAAACAGGTGGAGGGAGAGAGAGACAAAGAGAGCAGGCCCAGAAGTTAGCCGGATTGCAGTGGTCAGAGAAGATAGACTGCAGAGGAGAGGAGCAGAGCAGGAAAAGAGAGACAGGGCCCGAGTTTACCACCTATTTTGTATCTTTCTTGACCATGTGACTAAAGCCCAAATACTGAGACATTCAAATTGACCAATCAACATGTGAGCACATCATAAAACCCCCAAAGTCCACATACCAGGCCCTGATCTTATCAGTATCTGCCTTTGGAGTCAGTATGGACCTTCCTGAGTCAAAAAGACATGTTTTGTCATATAAACAAATGAATATGATAATTTAGCCTCTTACACAACCCAATTTTGAGTACAATATGTTACTTTTTAAATGTAATTTATTGAACCCACTTGAACCCAAAGTTTGAGTTTGTCCACATTTTACACTTTTTTTTTTTTACCCAAACTTGATAAAACATGGACAAATCTAAACATTGGGTTAAAATTGGTCAAATAATTCAAATTTAAAGAATAACCCAGTGTTTGGTTTTGTCTTTTGTTTTTGAGTTTTTTGACCCAACCTTTGTTTACAACACCCCAACATATGTTAGAGTGCATTATTAATAAATTAGTACTTAATACATGCTCTAAAGAAACTTTTGAAGTGAACTTTGAGTAAAATATTAACTAAACCAACCACTGGGTTATTTTTTTATTCAGTTTATTAGACAAATTTTACCCAACTTTGGTTTGCAACAACCCAACATTTATTAAAGTGTATTAACACCATTACTCAATATACACTTTTAAAATGCTTGGTTATCTCAACTCAATTTTGAGTAAAATATGGACAAAATCAACCACTGGGTTACTTTTAAATTCCATTTATTGTACCAATTTTAACCCAAAGTTTGTGTTTGTTCAAATTTTACACTGTTTTTACTCAATACATGCTCTAAAAAACCACATGAAGGGAACTTTGAGTAAAATATGGACTAAACCATTCAATTTATTGGACAAATTTTAACCCAAAGTTTAGGTTTGTCCATATTTTACCCAGTTTGGATTGAAATAACCCAACATTTTTTTAACATAACCAATGTTTTTGGCTATATAATGTATATGCATATTATTCACAATTAAAAAAACATGATGTATAGTTGGCGATGGAGTGGCGCAGTAGGTAGTGCTGTCCTCTCACAGTAAGAAGGTTGCTGATCCGAAACTCGGCTGGGTCAGTTGCCGTTTCTGTGCAGAGTTTGCATGTTCTCCCTGCGTTCGCGTGGGTTTCCTCCGGGTGCTCTGGTTTCCCCCACAGTTTAAAGTATTGTGGTATAGGTGAAATGGGTAAGCTAAGTTGTCTATAGTGTATGTGTGTGAATAAGTGTGTATGGATGTTTCCCAGAGATGGGTTGCAGCTAGAAGGGCATGTGCTGGATAAGTTGGCGGTTAATTCTGCTGTGCCAACCCCGGATTAATAAAGGGACTAAGCCAAAAAGAAAATGAATCAATGAATGCTGTATAGTTAATAATAATAATAATATAATAATTGTTAATAACTTTGACATGGTGTCTTTGTTATTACATCTTCTCTACAATGTTTATATTGTGTGTGTGTGTATACTTTCTCTTTCTCTATTATATGTATATTTGATATTTTGGTATTTATGTTATGAAGTGTTCAGTGTAAAACCGGAAGTCTTTTAATTTGAATTAATTACCATTACGGATATAAACAGACACGGAAAGATCACACATGATCATGGCGTCCCAGCTGTGCGGTCTGCTACGGACTAAAGGTTTAGCTTCTGGTTTGATTGGAGAACAAGGTACTGACACTTCGTTTGATATGTTTGTTTGTTTGTATTGAGTTTGTATATTGAGTTTAAGTGATGTCTGTTTGTTTGTATATGGTTTTCATATTTGCTTACATTTGGTTTCATTTTCTCTTTGTGTACAAGCTCTTACGGTGTTTGCCGTACGGTGCAAGATATACGGTGTTTGGCCTTTGGTATAAGGTGTTTTGATGTTGACGACGGCGTCAGTGAAGTGAATGCTGCACTGAAATAAATTATGGAAAAACACCAGTGAAAGAGGCAATCCTTTATTGAACCAGGGAGCTACAGTAAGAGCTTGCCATCATCGGGTCGCTGCTTAACGGAGTGGACGGCAATTAAAAGGACTTCTGGCATCGGCGCGCTCGTTGGGAACGGTGTGATTGCTCGCTACGGATCAAGAGCGGACTTTAAACAGACGGAGCTACAAGGCTACACACAGCTGCACGGACTGATCTAACGGACTTCACGGCATACAACGGCTTTAAACTAGTTTGAGGATCGCAGTGAGTACTAAAACAAAGAAACTAACTGAACTTTTAAAGGGACAATTTCTCGATTATGGTGTGTGTGTGTTTTTAAAGGGCAATTGGCGTTGTTGTGTGTGTTTAAGTCACTTGTTAAATGAATTGTGATCTATCAAAGTGTTTAACTATGCATTTTAATGCCTTTTTGCATATGGTTAAAATGAGTGGTTAATTTAGTGCCTTATTGACCTAAAATTATTGTGGGGTATTAATTTATAGATCCAAAAATGTCAAAATCAGATATAGGTTCAAAGAAGCACACTAAGCAAGCTGATATAGAAACTAGGAGTGAAAATACACGACGTTCAACACGTGCACAGGTCCCTACTGAAAAAATGTTAGCTTATCAGCAGGAAGAGCAACAAAAAAAGAAGAAAAAGGTTATTTCTTTGTATGATAAATGGAAAATTGAAGCCCGTAATGCACGTGAGCAACTTAAATCGGATCTATCAGACACTCAATTAGCTATTTTAATTGAAACTTTGGAAATTGCTAAAAATAAGGTTCTCAGTGCTTATGATGAATTTAGGAAACAAACATTACCTGATGTTGAGATGAGACGAAAAATGGATTCATGTGAAGCAGTAACAACTGATGTGACCAGAATTGTTAATGAAAGAATAGCAGGAATAGACGGTGATTACAGTTATGAGAGGGAAAAGGAACGTCTTAGTGCTTTGAGTTATAAGTATGCTAATTCAATTTTTGGTTCAACAGCTTCACAAGTTAGTCAGGAAATCAGTGATCATTCAGGTCATTGCTCTGTTTTATCAGACTTGGAGGCGAAACGTGTAGATGCTGCAGCAGAAGTAGCAGCCAAACAAGCTGCATATAATTCTTTAATGGCAGAAACTAAGCAAAAAGAGAAAATAAAAGAGTTAGAAGATCAGCATAAAAAAGCCCTTGAAGTTGAGTTTAAAGAATTAGAGCAAATTCAAGCGCAAAAGGATTTAAAAGTAGCTCAAGCTAAACTGGATGTTTACAGTGAAGAAGTTGAGAAAATAACCAGCTCTTTAAATGATTGTAGTAGTGCGAGTGGATCGGAGTTGTCTCAAGGAAATGAAAGGAAAGAAGTTAATCGACAGGAACAAAATGAGACCACAAATCCATCAGTTAAAGCATCAACTTCTGAATTCTCTGCTCTTGTTCAAGCACTTCAAGATGGCATATCTGCAAGCAAACTTCCAGTTCCAGAGCCTCCTATTTTTACAGGTGATCCTATTCACTTTATTGAGTTTAAGCAATCCTTTATGGCACTTATTGATAAGAAAGGGATTTCCTCTGCTGATAAGATGTTTTATCTCAAGAAATATGTGAGTGGGCCTGCACGGAAAGCCTTGGATGGCACTTTCTTCAGAACTGATGATGAAGTCTACAAAGATGCTTGGGATAAGTTAAATCATCGATACGGCCATCCATTTATTATTCAAAAGGCGTTTAGAGAACGTTTAGCAAATTGGCCTAAAATCCACCCAAAGGATGCCATGGGACTTCAAGCTTTCTCAGATTTTCTGAATGCATGTCGTGGTGCATTACCTCATGTTAAGGGTCTTCAGATCTTAAACGATTACCAAGAGAATCAAAAACTTATGCAAAAGTTACCTGATTGGGCAATTAGTAGATGGAATCGTCAAGTTACACAGTCTATCACCAATAATCATGAATATCCCACTTTTGATGAATTTGCTGTGTTTGTGTCAACTGAAGCGGATGTAGCATGTAATCCAGTTACTTCCTTCCATGCTCTTCACAATTCAGGATATACAGATGAGAAGGTAAACATGAAAGAAGTCAAGAAAAATAGAATACGGGTTTTGGCTACTCAATCAAACACTGAAGGGGATCAATATGTGATTAAGTCTTCTAGCAAAACTCAATGTGTGTTCTGTCAGGAAAATAATCATCAACTTGACAATTGTTCTAAATTTCTCAGTAGACCATTAGAAGAACGACGGCAATACATCCAAGAAAAGAAGCTTTGTTATGGATGCCTGAATTTTGGACACAGTGCAAAAGTATGTCGATATCGTCTAACATGTGATACCTGTAACAAGAAGCATCCAACTAGTTTGCACAATAACAACTTTGTGAAAATGGTAAGAACTTCATCTTCTGCAGTTCAAACGCAAAACGATCCTGAAGGTACGGCTAATGCAGTAACGTTAAATGTAGCTGGAGAAGAACCTGGTGTGTGTACTTCTATGATTGTCCCTGTTTGGGTATCCGCGAAACATAATCCAAGTTGTGAACAATTGGTATATGCGCTGTTGGATTCTCAGAGTGACACGACTTTCATTGATAAAAGTGTGAGTGATTCATTAAAAGCTGCATCATTTCCAGTGAAACTAAAGCTGACAACAATGCTTGGAAGGGATACGGTACTTCAAAGTGAGAGAGTGACTGGACTTCAGGTGAGAGCTTATAAGTCTAGTGACTATATCGATTTACCAGCAACTTATACTAAAGATTGTATTCCAGCAAATCGCCACCATATTCCCACGAATGAGGTTGCTGAACATTGGAAGCATCTTTCAGTCATCGCAGACAAAATACCTCCACTACAGGATTGTGATGTTGGCCTGTTAATCGGCTACAACTGTTCAAGATCAATGATTCCCAGAGAAGTGATAGTAGGAGGAGACGACGAGCCCTATGCGGTTCAAACGGATCTTGGATGGAGTATAGTAGGTTGTTCACCACGCTCTGACTTATTTAATGTTAGTAGATTGTGTCATCGCATAGCAGTTAGGGAGCTTCCTTCTATCACACCTGTCAACATAATACGGGCCCTTGAGAGTGATTTTAAAGATGCAGACGAAGAAACTGTCAGAGTATCCCAAGATGATATTCTCTTTCTTGAGAAATTAAAATCCGGCATAAGTAAAAACATTCACGGTCACTACCAAATGCCCCTTCCTTTTAAAGTAAGGCCGAAACTGCCTAATAACAAACGATGCGCTATGGTTAGACTTGATCACCTTAAAAGGAAGATGGTAAGAGATGAATCATACATGAAGAATTACAATCAGTTCATGAGTCAAATCTTTCAGAGAGGAGATGCTGAAGAAGTGCACAGTAGTGGTAAGGAAGGAGAAACGTGGTACCTACCTCACCATGGTGTTTTTCATCCGAAAAAGGCAGACAAACTGCGTGTGGTCTTCGACTGTTCTGCAAGGCATGAAGGTTCATCCCTAAATGATCACTTGCTTCAAGGTCCTGATCTCATAAATAGTTTGCATGGCATTCTAATTCGATTTCGTCAACATCCCATTGCACTTACTTGTGACGTTGAAAAAATGTACCATCAGTTTCACGTAGATGAACCCGATAGAGATTTTCTGCGATTTCTTTGGTGGAAGAATGGAGACATCACACAACCTGTTCATGAATTTCGTATGAAAGTTCATTTATTTGGGGCTGCTTCATCTTCAGGTTGTGCGAACTACGGCCTAAAACATCTTGCGACTGAAAATGGGGAGTTGTATCCACTGGGCTCACAGTTCTTGCTTAAGAACTTTTATGTCGACGATGGAGTGATCAGTGTGGAAAACGTGCATGAAGCCATTAAGGTTGCAGACGAAGCGCGACGTCTCTGTGCATTAGGTGGTTTACGATTACATAAGTTCTTGTCTAATAATGAACTTGTATTGAAGGGCATCCCTCAATCGGAGAGGATGTGTGGTGTAAGGGGTCTGGATCTTGCCTTTGATGAATTGCCATTAGAGAGAACACTTGGATTGCAGTGGGATAGGGAATCTGACTGCTTCAAGTTTAAAGTACACCTGAAAGAACAACCTGCCTCTCGGCGTGGCATATTATCTGCTGTCGCTTCTGTTTATGACCCTTTAGGACTCATTGCACCTGTCCTTTTCAATGGAAAGCGAATCTTGCAAGAGATGTGCAAGAATGGCAGTGGTTGGGATGACCCTCTGATGGATGGACTGAGTTTAAGATGGGTAAAATGGAAACAAGATTTACAAAGCCTGCAAAATCTAAGCATACCACGCACATATGTACCATTGAATTTCGGGAAACCAATTAGTATTGAATTGCATCATTTCTCCGATGCTAGTAATGATGGATATGGTCAATGTTCTTATGTCAGAGTAAAGAATGAAGAAGGAAATGTTCATTGCGCACTTGTGATGGCAAAATCAAGAGTTGCACCTCTCAAAGTTGTAACAGTCCCTAGGTTGGAATTAGCTGCTGCTGTAGTCTCAGTGGAAGTAAGTAATGTACTCAAAAGGGAGCTGGATTATCCCGTTGCTAATGAGACATTTTGGACTGACTCTAAAGTGTTGCTGGGGTATATAAGTAATGAAGCACGCAGATTTCACACATTTGTTGCAAACCGGGTGCAAAGGATATGCCGCAGCACAAAAATCGAACAGTGGAGATATGTTCCGACGGAAAGAAATCCCGCTGACTACGCATCTAGGGGTCTCACTGTAAAGCAACTACTTGACTCTGATTGGTTTACCGGCCCAAAATTTTTGTGGGAAACTGAAATGTTTATTCCATCTGAGCCCGCTCCTGCTCTTCTATTGGGCGATCCAGAAGTAAAAAGCTTTTTTACTTTGAATACAGAGTGTCAAAACAGCTTCAATTTGGCCAACCGCTTAACAAAATTTTCTTCATGGACTAAGGCAGTTGGAGCTGTAGCTCGTCTCTTAAGGAGAGCCAACAAGGATAGATCTAGTAGTCTTAGTACCATGCTAGAAAGACAAAAGGCAGAACTCCATATAATTAAATGCTTGCAAGAGAGTTCTTTTAAGGATGAGCTGAAGGAAATCAAGGGTGGGAGAGGTGTGTCATGTGGTGCATTACGTCCTCTTGACCCTTTCGTGGATCTTGATGGTGTGCTTAGGGTGGGAGGAAGACTTACTCGATCAAGTTACCCAGACTCTGTGAAGCATCCCATAATTATTCCAAAGACACATCAAATTACACAAATGATCGTTGCTCATTATCACAACAAAGTTATGCATCAAGGAAAAGGATTTACTGTAAATGAAATTAGAAGTAATGGGTTCTGGATCCCAGGAATCAACAAAGTTGTGGCATCCTTCATTAAAGGTTGTGTTGTCTGCAGAAAACTCAGAAGACCAGTTGAGGAACAAAAAATGGCAGATCTTCCACCAGAAAGAGTTGATCCATCCCCTCCGTTTCTGTACACTGGGATGGATTGTTTTGGTCCGTTTTCAGTTAAGTCTAGGCGAAATGTACAAAAAAGGTATGGCCTCCTGTTAACGTGTCTTTGTTCCCGTGCTGTGCACATTGAACTGCTTAATGACTTGACAACTGATTCTTTTATAAATGCTCTACGTTGTTTTATTGCCATTAGAGGCACAGTTCGACAGCTAAGATCTGATCAAGGGACCAATTTTGTGGGAGCAAGAAACGAGCTGAAAGGTGCACTCTGTGAAATGGATCCAGAAAGAATAACTACTTTCCTTTTGGAAAATCAGTGCGAATTCATCATGAATACACCTCATGCAAGTCATGCTGGTGGCGTATGGGAACGTCAAATAAGAACAATAAGATCTGTTCTGAATGCGACCTTTGCTCTTTATCCAGGGAAATTAGATGACTCTTGTCTGAGAGCGTTCCTTTATGAAGCAATGGCAATTGTAAATAGCAGACCACTAACTGTTGATTGTTTGAATGATCCACAAAGTTTAAGACCCATTACTCCGAACAATCTGCTTACATTGAAGCCAGTGACTGCTCTGCCTCCACCAGGTAAATTTTTGGAGGAAGATGTGTATGCAAGAAAGAGGTGGAGACACGTGCAGTACTTAGCCGAACAGTTTTGGAGCCGTTGGCGCAAGGAATATTTAGCAAACATAGTGACTCGTCAGAAATGGAATATGCCTAAGAGAAACCTTCAAATTAATGACATTGTATTGGTGAAGGAAGAAAACTTGCCTAGAAATGAATGGAAGCTAGGTAGGATACAGGAAACCATTAGTAGTGGTGACGGGCTTATTAGGAAGGCTAAAGTGCTCTTAGGTGATTGTAAACTTGATGCGAAGGGAAAACGTACAACCAAGCAATCCATAATTGAAAGACCAGTGCAAAAACTTGTATTGCTAAAGGAAGGAAATGAATAGTTATTTAAAATTGTGTAAATAAGTGGATCATGAAATCATTTTAAATTTTCTACATATTTATGGGTGTGTATTTATTATCATGAAAAAAAAAAAAAGGGTATTTATAAAAAAAAAAAAAATTTTTAAAGGGAAAAAAAAAAAAAAAAAAAAACACGTGAAGAGTTTGTTGCTAGGAAATTATTCGTGACTTGTAATTTGGGTTTAATACTTGCACTCATAATTTGGTGGGAGTGTTAATAACTTTGACATGGTGTCTTTGTTATTACATCTTCTCTACAATGTTTATATTGTGTGTGTGTGTATACTTTCTCTTTCTCTATTATATGTATATTTGATATTTTGGTATTTATGTTATGAAGTGTTCAGTGTAAAACCGGAAGTCTTTTAATTTGAATTAATTACCATTACGGATATAAACAGACACGGAAAGATCACACATGATCATGGCGTCCCAGCTGTGCGGTCTGCTACGGACTAAAGGTTTAGCTTCTGGTTTGATTGGAGAACAAGGTACTGACACTTCGTTTGATATGTTTGTTTGTTTGTATTGAGTTTGTATATTGAGTTTAAGTGATGTCTGTTTGTTTGTATATGGTTTTCATATTTGCTTACATTTGGTTTCATTTTCTCTTTGTGTACAAGCTCTTACGGTGTTTGCCGTACGGTGCAAGATATACGGTGTTTGGCCTTTGGTATAAGGTGTTTTGATGTTGACGACGGCGTCAGTGAAGTGAATGCTGCACTGAAATAAATTATGGAAAAACACCAGTGAAAGAGGCAATCCTTTATTGAACCAGGGAGCTACAATAATAATACAATAATAATAATAATAATAATATAATATAATAATAATAATACAATAATAATATAATATAATAATAATGATATAATAATAATAATAATAATAATAATATAATAATAAATAATAATAATAACAATATAATAATAATAAAATAATAGTAATAAAAATATATTAATAATACTTTTCCATTACTTCTTTTCAAATGCAATTTGTTAAACTTTGGTAAACTTTGGTTACTGTAACCCAATGTTGGTTCGAATATGGACAAACCCAGTTGGGTTAATTTTTTCCTATTAAATTAAATTAAATTAAATTAAATTAAATTAAATTAAATTAAATTAAATTAAATTAAATTAAATTAAATAACACAAAGTTAGGTTTGTCAGTGGGTTACAACAACTGAGCATAAAGAGCATTCCCAATAAAATGTTTTGCTTTAAAATGCACATCAGAAAATACTTGACTAGTTTTTTTTATCAGATATGATCAGTTTTCATTGACTCAAAGCCAAGCAGCAGGCAAATGATTTAAACGTGTGTGTATTGTTGAATGCACGGGTGTGATGCATGGAATGCTGCACCTACAAGAAACACTCTCACTCCAGAACAAACCCTGCGCTCACATGTGTGTTCAGAGGTGAAAGTGTGATTGCATCTGAGACTGTCTGCATCTTATCATCTCAAGCTCCTCCAGTACCTGATGCACATCTAATACTTTCTCCCGCACGTGACGTGAGCGCACAGTATGAGCTCGTTTTACACAACAGCACGCAGTTTAACCCCACAGATTGATGCAATAATTTATTAGGGGTGAACTGAGCCAGAGGGCACTTCTGTTCTAGAAAAACTAGGACACGAGGTCTGGATCAGAGCGGAGACTGATTGAAAAAGACACTCGAAAAACATACAGCCAAAGCAGATGAAGACCAAGATGAGGGGGTTTACTGTGGTGTTTACAAGATACTGTGCCAACCTGACTAGCAGGGAATGTTGTTGGAATGTTCTGGCAATGTTTTGAGTATAAACATTAATGTAGAATGTTCAATCAAGTTGTATTGTCTTTAAAAACAAGCGAAAAACTAAACGGTGTTGTTTTTAATGTTACTATCTGTTTTTGAATGTTCACAGAATACTAAAAAGTAACATCACATCCATTTATTTTCCTTTGGCTTTGTCTAGTGGTTCTCAAACTGTGGTACGTGTACAGCCATATCACCCTGCAGCTCAAGACCGGTTACTCACTGAAGCTAAGCAGGGCTGAGCCTGGTCAGTACCTGGATGGGAGACCACTTGGGAACACTAGGTTGCTGTTGGAAGTGGTGTTAGTGAGGCCAGCAGGGGGCGCTCAACCTGTGGTCTGTGTGAGTCTTAATGCCCCAGTATAGTGAAGGGGACTCTACATTGTCAGTGGGCGCCGTCTTTCGGATGAGACGTTAAACCGAGGTACTGCTCATTAAAAATCCCATGAAAGAGCAGGGATACAACCCCGGTGTCCTGGCCAAAGTCCCTCAATTGGCCCTCACGATCATGGCCTCCCAATCATCCCCATCCACTGAATTGTCTCTATCACTGTCTCTCCACTCCACCAATATCTGGTGTGTGGTGAGCACACTGGCGCAGTTGTCCTTTGGCTGCCGTCGCATCATCCAAGTGGATGCTGCACACTGGTCAACCCGGGCTCATTGTGGAAACGTAGCCCCGCGGACGTTTCTGCGTACCGCGATTTACGTCCCGGGAGGTACGTATTCGAGCGTTTTTTTGTTCGTCTCGGGTGCCTCTCGGGAGCACACGCCGTTCGCGCCCGCGCGCCGTTCGCGCCGTTCTCGTGTGAAAAGCCGCCGGATCGGCCGACTCGTCCACCCTCCTCTTCCTCCTCCTCCTCCTCCTCCTCCTCCTCCTCCTTCCCTAAACCCAAGCGACGGTTCGCAAAAGCCATCCAGAAAAAAAAAAAAAAAAGCAAAAGCCCTCGTCTTTGATTTCGACCGCGTTTTCGGATCCCGCCGCGTTCTCGCCCTTATTTTTCGGATTCCGTTTTTTGTCTTACCTGATTTCCGGAACCTGCTGTTCCCCGGACTCGATCCCGGTCGTTGTCCACCGCGGCCGGCTCCTCCTCCTCCGGGGCCTCCGCTCTGCCGACGCAACGCTGTGAGCTAAGCGGACAAACTGATTGCATCGGGAAAGCCCTCCACTCGGAGGCGAGCCGTCAGCTGGCGAGCGCGAAGAGGAAGGGCGGAGCGGCGCCACACCGCCCCGCAGCGTTCGCTCGAAAAAAAACAAACGCGGCCTTTACGTACCTCCGGCCACGTAAATCGCGGTCTCCAGAAACGTCCGCGGGGCTACGTTTCCAGAATGAGCTTGGGTTGACACTGGTGGTGGTGTGGAGAGACCCCCCCCCCATGATTGTGAAGCACTTTGGGTGTATGGCCATACACAATAAATGCGCTATATAAAATACACATTACATTACACTAGTGGTACGCCGGCTTACTTCTTGTGGTACGTTGAGGAACGTAAGAAAAAGTGAATACAATTTTAATCATTTGATGTGTACGATAACAGCGATGTGATCAGCATTGGCTGTTCTCTAAAACCTACGATCAAAGCGATGTGCTTAGAATGTTTACTTTAGTGCTGTAACGACGGGGAGTGACACCAACAACAGAAGTTTGGATCCACGTGCAGGTTTATTCAAAGTCAGGCAAGCGATGGTCAATTCAGGTGCAAACAGATATATGTAGACAATCCAGAATCGTTGTCAGTAAACAGGCAATAGGTCGTAAGGCAGGCGGCTAAACAGGATGACAAGGATAAACAGGGCTAGGATCAAAACACGGGAAAACAAGACCAGGATAACGCGTTGTAATGTCACCTTACAGATAAACAAGACTCGGCAAACTGAAGGAGTGAATGAGTGGCTTAAATAGTATGTGTTAATCAGTCTCTGAAAGTCCTCAGGTGTGAATGTAAATCAAGCTAAATGAGAAAGCAGGTGTGTGGGTGAAGAGCATGTATAAAGTTGAAGTCCATTAACTGGCAGATTTGTAGTTTCATGAGTGAGTGTTTACCAGCGACATCTGGTGGTTTGTTCATTGGTAAACATGACAAGTGCATTGTGTCATCAGCTGCAAAAAATCAATCTAAATGAAGCAGAACTAGAGAAAGTGGTGCGTGGTGCTTGCAGAGCAGATAAGCACTAGAGCAGTGGTCCCCAACCCTTGGACCAGACCGGCACCGGTCTGTAGATCAACTGGTAACGAGCCGCACAAAAAAACATTAATTGTTTCCATTTTATTTATAATCTGAGTCTGAACGATCACTTATTTTGAAAAATCTTTTATTTTGAAAAATGCCCGTATTCTCTTGCTACATCTCGGTCACTTGAGCATTAAAATTTAATCCACAGGCGCTTGCATATTCCAGGCGTGCCCAGTTGAAAACATCTAAACTTTTCAGAATGCCGCACTGCAAGTCACGTGACAAGAACTGACTGATCAGCTTCATAATTTCCATAGATATATATACTAGATATCGCATAGGGACCCTGAGCATGTGTCAATAGCGCTGCCACATTGGTACAGTGCTCCCATGACAAATGTCATTCAAGTCAGAATTATTAGCCCCCCTTTAATTTTTTTTTCTTTTGTTAATATTTCCAAAATGATGTTTAACAGAGCAGGGAAATTTTCACAGTAAGTCTGATAATATTTTTACTTTTGGGAAAAAGTCTTATTTGTTTTATTTTGGCTGGAATAAAAACAATTTTTAATTTTTTTAAACATCATTTTAACAAAATTATTAGCCCCTTTAAGCTATTTTTTCGTTATAAAATAGCTTTCCTGATTACCCTAACCTGCCTAGTTAACCTAATTAACCTAGTTAAGCCTTTAAATGTCACTTTAAGCTGTATAGAAGTGTCTTGAAAAATATCTAGTCAAATGTTATGTGCTGTCATCATGGCAAAGATAAAAAATATCAGTGATTAGAAATGAGTTATTAAAACTATTATGATAAGAAATGTGTTGAACAAATCTGCTCTCCATTAAACAGAAATTGGAGGAAAATAAACAGGGGGCTAATAATTCTGACTTAAACTGTAGAACTTAATTATAGAAATATAAGCTAGGCATCATCTATGACAGTTGCCAAAGTGAGATATAAGCTATATAGGAGACATATCTTGTATGTACATATAGGGCTTATACAGGATGTGGATATAGCAATAGGAGACCTACACTGTACAAAATGGAGGGTTCCTGCAACATTCATGTTGACCCAACACAAATCGATTAAGTTAACTTAACACTTTTTACAAATTTATGTGGATTGAACATAGAAATTAAGTTGTCCCAATGAAATCACAAGTTGTTTCAGCTCATTTTAATTAAGTGGTTTGAACAAGCAAAACATATGTGCCTCAATTTTGCCTATATGTGGCATACATATATGCAGCTTATATATTATCATATGTGCATACTGCATATACTGTATGTTTTATATATCCTCATATAGATGTGGGACGTAAGGGTTCAATAAGCGGTTGTTGTTGCTGTTTCATTGATAGTTTAATAACTTTTGGCTTATTTTCTTGAGCTTTAATTGATCCCTTTATTATGAAACATTGGAATAATTCTATCTAATTACACTGTGTTTGATTTAGTAGTAACACCTTGTTCAGTTATGAACCGGTTCTGTTAAAGGAATCGGTTGAAATGAATCACAAATGAACCTGCGTCTCTCAGAACCTTTACTCGTGAGTTTTAATTTAATTCAAAGTCAGTTTTCACGTTTTAAATGAATTTGAAATTAAATTAAATTTGACTACTCTGTAAAGCAGACATATTTTGAGCTCTTCAGTATGAATCACATCGCACATGAAAACTGGGTGAAGGAAATCCCTGAATAAAATAAAAGTGACAATCGTGTTAATTTTCTTACATACCCTATTAAAAAAAACCCGCTTAAACCCGCCTAGGCTGGTTTTAGAGGGGTTTTGGCCACTTCCAGGCTAGTTTCCAGTCATGTCCAGCCTGGTTTTAGCTGGTCAGGCTGGGAGATGACTAGCTAAAACCAAGTATGCCGCAAGCCTACGTTTAAGTGAAGGTTTCGGCCGTTAGATCGCCCCCTGGGGGCTGGCTGCAGTACAAGTCATAAAGCCCGCCTCCTCCGTGTTAATGAAGGAGACTTGAGCCCAAATAAAAAAAAATATTACACTTGCAATAAAATGTCCCGAAAGATAGTTCTGGTCAATTAAGGCACTGGTTATTGTGCTGAAATAGCTGCAGATCTTCATTTTTGTAAACAGTTTGTTTTTAGCAGTAATTTAATGCTGGGCGTGTCATCGTGATTGACAGCTGTGATTGACAGTTTCTCAAAGCGCGGCGTCTGAGCTTCGGCAGGAGACTGAAGTAGACTGAAATGTTATTATTCGATTTCTGTGTTATTTTACCATGACAAAATGAGTTCAGCAGTAAACTATAGTTTCTGACATACATGATTCTGGTGGAACACTGTTTATTCGCTAAGTTCAGGGCTTTTTTCGGGCTTTATTAGTTTGCTGATACACGCCTAGCCACCCAGATAGCAAAACACAGTTCCGGCTAGATTCTCGCCTGCCGGAGACTTACCCCTCAGAGCTCAGACTGACTAATGTTACCTCTGCTGGACCTACTCCGGATGCCTGGACTCACTGCCCGATTCCAGCCCGAGTCAATCGAGCCAGATGCGGCGGCCGAGCGAGCCGGCGCTGCCGCATGCGAGCCGGAATCAGCCCGCGACGCCGCGAGTAAGTTATGCGCTGCGGCCTGGAGCTGGCGCGATTGAATATATAAAACCCTCATATTTGTTAACGTTATTACATCCATTTGTGTTGATATGACAGCAAACGCATGCTGAGAAGTTCGGGGGGCGTAGTTGATTTTACATAAAGCGTTTGGTTGGAAGCTCGACTCCGCTCATTTTCGCAGCTCCTCCTCTGGCTCCATCAGACAGTCCTTCTGCGCATGTCTGGCTCCAATTTCAGCAGTCTTTTGCGACAGTTTGTGCCCGTCAAGCAGGCGTTTTGCCCTCAAGGCGTTCAATGGGAAAAAGGGCTGTCGCGTCGTCCATATTTTTTACAGTCATTGGCTAAAACCAGCTTGACCAGCCTAGCCAAGCTGGGAGCTCAGCCAAAATCAGCTATGTCCAGCTTAAACCAGGATGGTCAAGCTGGTTTTAGCTGGTCACTTTTCAGCCTGACCAGCTAAAACCAGCCTGGAAATGACTGGAAACCAGCCTGGAAGTGGCCAAAACCCCTCTAAAACCAGCCTGGTCAACTAGCTAAAACCATCCAACCAGCTTAGGCTGGTTTAAGCTGTTTTTTTCAGCAGGGAGTGAAAAAGATTAACGGGTTTGTGTCGTAACGATAAAAGTGTGATCAAAATCTCACATCAAACATCACGCTTTCTACCTTTTATTCCGTCGCAAGTTCTGAGGGGAGTTAAGAATCAGTGAGTCGAACGAGCAGTTCAAAAGAATCGAATCACCTGAGTGATTCAAACTTCCGAGCATTTTCCTCTGGACCAATCGGCGTCTTGACACACCCACGATCAGACGCACAGCAGATTCTCTCCCTCTCTGCATGAGTGTGTGTGTATGTGTGTGTGAATGTGTGTATGAAGAACAGACGAGCACACCTTCATCCCAGACTAACATCAGGGATAATTCAGCGCAAAATAATTCCGGGATTCACAACGAAACGAGAAAACGGTGTATTTATTATTGGATGTTTTATTTTTTTATTGATTCAATGCGACGCTACCAAGGACAGGTCGAACCGAATGGCGTTTACAGAATGTTTTAGCATTTTTCAGTGTCGTATTTGTTTGCTGTGAGTGTATTATGAACGCTATTATGGATGCAAATCTCCATGGAAATTAATTTGCGTAAAATCCGCTGATCAGAACTGCGCACATCATCACACGCACACACACATACAAACACACGCACACACACATACAGCATCATCGTCGTCATCAGAGACGCAGGACATCAGCAGGTACTGAGCGATTTCCTTCTGTGATTTTTGTTATGAATTCTGGAACCTGTTTATTTCGCAATGATGTGTGTTGTTGTGAAAGTGTTTAGTTTATCTGGGTTATTATGCGATCGTGCCATTGTTTAAGCAGGTATCAACTGTCATCTGTTGGCCAGGTGACGTTTCAGGCAGGTGTGTCGTGGAAAACATTTGACATTAGGCGGTTGCAGCTTTATCTGATGGACTTGATGATGACTTTTTTCTGATAAGAAATGTGTGTTTGTGCTGGATAAATGACAAATGCAGGTTTTTTGGGGTCCTATGATGCCTGTGAGGACCACATATAATGATAGCCTTTAAATCAAACATATTATATTATGTTATATTATTTTATTTTATATTATATTATTTTATGTTATTATATTATTTAATTTTATATAATATGTTTTATATTATATTGCATTTGATTTTAATATATTATTTTATATTATATTATATTTTTATATTATATCATGTTATATTTGATATAATTTTATTTTATATTATATTTTATTATTTTATGTTATTATATTATTTAATTTTATATAATATGTTTTATATTATATTACATTTGATTTTATTATATTATTTTATATTATATTATATATTTTTATTATATTATATTATGTTATATTTTATATTTTATTATATTTTTATATTAAATTATATTTTATTAAATTATAATTTTTATATTATATTATATTATAATTATGTATATTATATTATATTATAATTATGTATATTGTATTATATTATAATTATTTATATTATATTATATTGTATTAAATTAAATTATAAACTTTATATTATATTATATTATATTATATTATATTATATTATATTACATTATATTATAGTCAAAGCTACACTGTAAAAATGCTAGGTTCCACACAATTGAGGTGTGTTGGAAGATCATAAAGAAACTAAGTTAACTTATTTGTCTATACACTAAGAAAGGTCTGTAATTCATGTTTTTATTTTTTGTTTTCCACGTTAATTTATGCCTAGAGTTGCATTATGGGAGCTTGATCTTTCTTTCAATACTTTTTAACCTTGAAAAGTTGGAAAAAGTGACTTTTTTGAACATGTGTAATAGTTTGCAGTGCTATATTGTCTGGGTTGGTGTTGTATATTACGCTACAAACAACTTGTAATAAACCGCAGAACATTATCTGTTATTTTACAGAGTTATTTTTGTATTTCTTATGCTATTATATTATTTTTAAACTAATAAAATTTCAATAAAAGTCACTTAGTTAAACTGTAGAGTTGAATTTTCAACATCAGAAGTGCACAGAGCAGAGATCAGCATCCCATAATGCAATTCACAACCGCAAATGAACACAAAATATGGAAATTTTACTTTACAGATTGGTTGTTATTATTAACACAATTTAAGTGGATTGAACATAAAACAATTAAGTTGTCCCCTTACAAAGCTCAAGAATTGTGTTATTTCAGTGCATTCAGTTTGAACAAACAGCAAATGTCATTTTTTGAGTGTAATATGCGCACTTAATAAATATATCATTTAAATAATAATTTAATAAAGGTGGTTTAATCTAATTAAGTACTGAATTTCATATTTCAGGCTTTCTTTCTTAAGACGACAAAGTAAATATTTGTTAGATAACTGTTCTACCATTTGTTTTACAAAAATAGCCATTTATATCGGGCTACAAAAAATATTAATAATTTATACTATTTTTCCTTTGATTCTTTTTTCTTTCAGCCTTGTCAAAGCTAATGAGGACACTTAAGGTTATTAATAAATAAATACATTATTGATTATTTAATGTTTTTGCTGTTTAAGTTCACTTAAGGCCACGTGGTGACTCAGTGGTTAGCACTGTGGCCACACAGCAAGAAGGTCGCTGAATCAAGTCCTGGCTGGGTCGGTTGGCATTTCTGTATGGAGTTTGCATGTTCTCCCCGTGTTGGTGTGGGTTTCCTCTGGGTGCTCCGATTTCTCCCATAGTCCAAACACATGCGCTATAGGGGAATTGAATAAACTAAATTGGCCGTAGTGTGTGTGGATGTTTCCCAGTACTGGATTGCGGCTGGGAGGGCACACACACACGCTGTGTAAAACATATGCTGGAAAAGTTGGCAGTTCATTCCGCTGTGGCGATTCCTTATGAATAAAGTTACTAAGCCGAAGGAAAATGAATGAATGAATGAATTTTATGAAATGAAAAATTTTTAAATTGTGCTTTCTGTCTTTATTTTAAATTTACTATTTAATTTCTAAAAAAAAATAAAGTGTTAATTTCACATTTGCTGTTGAGCTTAATTTTAAAAGTAAAATATTATTTAAAAATAACATGCGTATATAATATATTGAAATCAGATTTATTAGCCCCCTTCTTTGAATTTGTTTTATTTTTTAAACCAAAATGATGTTTAACAGAGCCAGAAAATGTTCACAGTATGTCTGATAATGTTTTTTCCTCTGGAAAAAGTCTTATTTGTTTCACTTTGGCTAGAATAAAAGCAGCTTTTAATTTTTTAAACACCATTTTAAGGTCAAAACTATTAGCCCCTTTAAGCTATATATTTTTTCTGATAGTCTACACAGAACAAACCATCATTATAAAATAACTTGCCTAATGACCCTAACCTGCCTAGTTACCCTAATTAACCTAGTTAAGCCTTTAAATGTCACTTTAAGCTGTATAGAAGTGTCTTGAAGAATATCTAGTCAAATATTATTTACTGTCATCATGGCAAAGATAAAATAAATCAATTATTAGAGATGAGTTATTAAAACTATTATGATCAGAAATGTGCTGAAAAAATCTCTCTGTTAAACAGAAATTGGGGAAAAAATAAACAGGGGGTCTAATAATTCTGACTTCAACAGTAAATAATGTTTTAGTTCAATCTGAAAAGCCACTCATTTAATATTGCAAACACTTATTTTATTTATTATATGTAAAATATGTATAATATTATATTATATGTATAATATGTTTTTGTTTTTTTTGCATTAAATTTGCATCACATTTCTGGTTTAAAAATAATACAGACAAAAAACAGCATCATACCTGATCCTGTGCATCGATGGACTTTTTGTAAACAAAAGGCAGAATCATTTTAAGCCTGGAAATTCCCATAAATGTCTGTAGAACCAAAACATAAGAAACAATACTAATCCAACGATGAGCGATTGCGTAGGTCATGGAAAGCACATGGACATCCGATGGTCAGAATTGAATTGTGGGATTTTATGAGGGGTATTAATTTAGTAGTGGCTATAGCTGTGCAATATGACAATATATACAGCTGAGGGCAAAAGTATTCACTTTTATGTGAATTTTATTTTCAGGTATTTCCCATATGGTGTTTAGCAGATTCAGGAATTTTTCACAGTATTTCCTATAATATTTTTTCTTCTAGAGAAAGTCTTATTTGTTTTATTTCGGCTAGAATAAAAGCAGTTCTTAATTTTTTAAGCTATTTTAAGGTCAATATTATTAGCCCCCTTAAGCATTATTTGTTTTCGATTGTCTACAGAACAAACCACTGTTATGCAATGACTTGCCTAATTAATCTAACTTCACCCTAATTGACCTAGTTAAGCCTTTAAATGTCACTTTAAGCTGAATACTAGTGTCTTGAAGAATATCTAGTCAAATATTATTTACTGTCATCATGACAAAGATAAAATAAATTAGTTATTAGAAATGAGTTATTAAAACTATTATGATCAGAAATGTGTTGAAATAAACGTATGTGGTCCTGCTGTGTGTTTGTGCTCAGGATGGATGCGCTCAGCCGGTGGTTCTGGAAGCAGGAGATCTGGCTTCCCCCAGGAATCGTCTGGGAGGATCTGGAGGAGATGCAGGGCTCTCGGCGTCCAATGCCCAGAGATCTGCTCCTCGCTCTGCCTCTCGCTCTGGCCTTCATCATGCTGCGCTACGCTTTTGAGAGGTAAATAACAACTTTAACACCTCCTCAGGGGCTTCAGGGAGATTTAGGCCCAATCCCAGTTCAATTTTTGTACCCCTACGCTTTCCCCTTGGCCCTTAAAACCGAGTGTGAAGGGCTTTAAAAATTACTTCTAAGAAATGAGACAGCACCGGCACACGTCTTCATATGTCAACGTGATCTTTTGCTTCATATGAGATTAGACGATGGCGTCTGCTGTAGTTATTCCAGTTGTGTTATCTTATTTATCTTCAGGAGATCACTGAAGGCATATATCATGTTATCATAATAGTATTGTAGGGATAATTTACAGTTTGACCCAAAGAATGACCAGTCTGGTAGATGAAGAAGAGCCGGAGTCAGAGATTTAAATAAATAAATCCAGTTTACTGAAGATAGTTTGCAGTTACATCAGCAGAAGCCAGCTTCAACACTCGCAATGAGTTCCTAGGCCGCTCTGACTTACAGTTTCAACAATCGAACAATTATACTCTTTACACAAGTCCAGAAAAGGTGGGATCCAGGTAAACAGTTCTCATTGGTTACAACAGAAATAGACAATTCTAAATACATGCGTCAAAGAAACAAAGGGCCCTATCATACACCCGGCGCAGTGTGGCGCAAGGCGTGGCGCAGTAGTCTTTTGGTAGTTTCAGCTTGGCGCAAGAGTGGTTTTGAGGCGTTGCTCTACGCTGTTTAAATAGCAAATGCATTAGCGCTCATTTGTGCGCCCATAGGCGTTCTGGTCTAAAAAGGAAGGCGTTCTGAGGCGGACCGCTGGCGCGTTGCTATTTTGAGAAACTATAATAGATTTTTCATTAGACCAAAACTAACCCGGTCTAAACTCCAGCGAAGAGTTGCGCCTCGCTTACACACTGCTTAATACACACAAGAGAGCAATAGGCAAATATCTTTACATATGAAAAAATGTTAATATTAAGGATATATATAGAATATAATAAAAATAGATATAGAATATAAATATAAAGGATTAAAATATTACAAAACATATTATTTTCTAGCCTACATAAATATGAAAAATCACTGCTTTTATTTCTTCTTCATCTCGGGAGGCTTTTTCAGTTCATTCATAACAATTTGCTTTTGTATAATGTTATTATTATTAGCAGTATTATTTATTATATCCATATTTATATTTGTTTATTAAAAACAAGCTTAGATTTGCCCACCTGTCAGGTTTTAGACCATATGGGGCACAGCATGTGTTTTAGGATATAACTCAGGTTTTTGAGCACATTTTGTTATTATTGTTAATTTATTCGTTTGCTGGAAATTAGAACTGAATTTAGAAATAGTTTTGAAACGAATATTTGCGCTTAACAAACAAAAGTATTTATTTATAGACTAATTGATGTCTGTGCGTAAAGGTTTCTCTATCCAAGAGCGAAAGTGAAAGTAGATCATTTATCTCTCATTCTCACGCAGTAGATGCTCTGTTTAACAGCTTTCTGTTAAAAAACTGATAACTGTGAACTGTTAGCTTGTGAAATGCTCATTTTTTCAACTTAGACTTACTTTGCGTCATGTAAATAGTGAATGCGCTCTTGGCACGGCGCAGCTGGGTCTTGAAGGGAATGGGAGATGAGACTCTGATTGGTTTATTCTCAAAACACACCTATAACTCATTAAGAAAATAAACTCAACCCTTTTAGACCTTGCGCCACGGCGCAAGGCAGATTTCCCGTCCTTAAATCCCGTCACTTTTCCAGATCTTTCTGAATGAAATGCCTACTTTACTCAACCCAGACTCACTCTGTAAACGTAGTCCCGTGGACGTTTCTGGAGGCCGTGAAATACGTCCCGGGAGGTACGTATTTTTTGCAGCTTTTGTTTTCGCGAATCCCCGAGAGGCAGCTGTGTGCGCTTTTTCACATCTCAAATGTCTCTTCAAGTGCCGTTCGCGCCCGTGCTGTTCTCACGTAAACCCACCAAAGGCCGCTGTCGAACGGCCGTCTGTCTGACTGGTTGAATGATTGACTGGGCGACTGGCCAATCGGCTGACCAACCCTCCTCCTTCCCTGAACCCAACCAATTTTACCGATTAAGCGTTGGCTTAAAAAATTAATTGCAGCCATACGTACCTCCGGCTACATAATTCGCGGCCTCCAGAAACATCCACGGAACTACATTTTCAGAATGAGCCTGGGCTGACTTTACTACATCCAATCAGCTTGCAGTAGAAAAAAAAAACAAGCCACGCCCACTGTTTGCTCATTTAATTATTATTATTATTTTATCATGTTAACGTTTTCAGCTGGTATATGCCACTTTGGGGCACCTCATATCAAAACACAATGGTTTGTCATTTGACACCGTAACTAAATAATTTAAAAAGTGTGGTTGCACATCATTGCATTGTATAAAACAATGTCAATTTTATATATACGATTCCAATCAACGATATACATTTTTGTTCAACAAAACCAGCCAGAATACCTTAGCAACTGCATAGCAACACCCTCAGTCTTTTTGTTTAATTTTGTGTGTCTGACGCCTGCTGTGCTGTAACCTAATGCCTCATCATTGTGTGTGTGTCTGTTTGTGTGTATGTGTGTGTCTGTGTCGGTCTGGCTATTCTGGGGCAGGTGTGTGTTTCTGTGTATTGTGTGGGAGCAAATGAAAACAGCACACGTGTCAAACAGCAGCAGGCAGACGCTGAGTGTGTGTGTGTACAGTATATGTGTTTAGTTGTACAGTGCATGTTGGTATTAGTCTTGTTGGACCAAATGTCCCCACAAGTATAGCAATACCAGTAAATGTTAACCTTATAGTGACTTTTTTGGCATTTGTAGGTATTTTAAAAATGTAAAAGTGCAGATTGTGTCCTGTGCGCTACAAACTGTACACTAGAAACATTAATGCTTGAGGTGGTTGTGACGACTTAAAATGAAATATGCAATATTGTTGTGGAGTCCGGCGATAATAAAAATAAAAATGCAATATGAACACAAAGCTTTGTTTTTAAATCGCTTATTTTTTATGATATTAATATAAACAGGCCAAATACGTTTTGCAGATTTAATAAATTATCATTCAGACTAAAAACTCTTAAGGGTGCAAACATTTAGGCCCAATCCTATCTCTATTTTTGTACCCCTTTCCCTTCCCCTTCCAAATTCACAGATTTGTTTTTAAGCATGACGGTAAAACACGAGGACGATTATGAATATATTGAAACATGTGCTTGTTTGTTGTAAAAATTCATAATAATGACAAAAATATATTTATAATTTATGGATCTTCTTAATTCGGTGTGCAGCCATGCTGCCATTGTAGAGGATGCATTCTGGAAAATGTTCTTACCCCTTGGTTTCAAGTGTGGTCCTGAAAAATCTCCGTTTGAAGGGGTATCTAGCCCTTCCCCGTAGCTCTACGACTTCAAGCTTAAGAGAATTGGGACACCCCTTCACAGGAACGTGCAAAAAAGGGGGTAAAAGGATTGGGATTAGATGAGGGGTAGACTTGGGATTGGGCCTTAATCTATAAAACACTAGTGTTTAATTTCAGCTCTGGGTTCACCTTTGGGCCAATCCAGCCAATAGCAGAACAGCAAGTTCAGGGCCAAAGATAGAAAGGCCCCATCTGATTGGTCATTAATATATATATATATATATATATATATATATATATATATATATATATATATATATATATATATATATATATATATATATATATATATACATACACACACACACACACACACTCACGTACACATACACACTTACTGGCCACTTTATTAGGTACACCTGTCCAACTGTTCTTAAATGCAAATTTCTAATCAGCCAATCACATGGCATCAACTCAATGCATTTAGGCATGTAGACGTAGTCAAGACAATCTTTAGAAACTGCTGATCTACTGGGATTTTCTCACACAACCATTTCTAGGGTTTACAGAGAATGGTGAGAAAGAGAGGAAATATCCAGAGAGCGGCAGTTCTGTGGGCGCAAATGCCTTGTTAATGCCAGAGGTCAAAGGAGAATGGCCAGACAGTACTAGAAAGGCAACAGTAACTCAAATAAGCACTCGTTACAACCGAGATCTGCAGAAAAGCATCTCTGATTAGTACCAATTACCCATTGACCAATTGAGTACCAATTGAGCATCATGTTAACACCACAGCCTACCTGAGTATTGTTGCTGACCATGTCCATCCCTTTATGACCACAGTGTCTCCATCTTCTGATGGCTACCTCCAGCAGGATAACACACCATGTCATGAAGTGTGAATCATCTCTGGTTTCTTGAACATGACAATGAGTTCACTGTACTCAAATGGCCTCCACAGTCACCAGATCACAATCCAATAGAGCACCTTTGGGATGTGGTGGAATGGGAGATTCGCATTATGGATGTGCAGCCGACAAATCTGCAGCAACTGCGTGATGCATATCAATATGGAGCAAAATCTCTCAGGAATATTTCCAGTGTTGTTCAATCTGTCACGAAGCCAAAAGGGGTCCAGTCCGGTACTAGTAAGGTGTACCTAATAAAGTGGCCGGTGGGATTGATACTCACATGAGGTGTTTTTAGACTTGTGAAAAAGTGTGTTTGTGAGTGTGTGCGTGTGTGTGTTCATCCGATTGCTAAATCAACACAAAGAGTCAGTGTAATGTCAGCTGATGCTGCGTCCGCCTCCTCCGTGTTTGATCTTTATTCTCCATCTAAATAAACTCCACCCTGCAGTCAAACACACGCAGCGCTGTACAGATAATGTGACACATCAAGCAACAGTCACATATTTACAGTTAGCTCTCCGAGCATCTGCTGAGGAATGAAATGCGGCCTCAGGATACTGAAAGAGGGTGGAAACACAGGCTTTATTGATCAGTAATCAGACATTGATGAAGGATCTGCTGTGTTGTGTGTGCGCAGGCGTGTGGCGTTTCCTCTCAGCCGAGTTTTAGGAGTCAAAGATCCAGTTCGCCTGAAAGTCACTCCATCTCCCAGTCTGGAGGCGTTTTACACTAAAAACAGCAGGCAGCCCACACAGGTGAGCAAATACACACACACACACACACACACACACAATATGAGGTAATGAGGACACACCATATTTCACTTCAGCGTGTTTAACCCTTGTGCACTGTTCAAATTGACTCCCCTTTCGTATGTTGATGGCTGTTTTTGCCCCATTGGCTTCCATTATAATCACATTAATTGATTGTAAAGCCATGACAGCATATAATCATGCATTCTTAACTGGTGCTGGTTTTCCCTGTTGGGAAGAGGAACAATGTGTAATGTTTACTGTTGATCATCAGCAGGCAGCATTAACCCTTGAGATAGGCCTGTGCAGAAAAGTGGCTCTTATATGGAGGTAATCAGCAGATTATAGTGTGTGTGTGCAGAAATACACTTACTATGTTTACTATGGTGGCACAGAGGCTCAGTGGTTAGCACTGTCGCCTCACTGCAAGTAGGTCGCTGGTTCAAGTGCCGGCTGGGCCAGTTGGTATTTCTGTGTGGAGTTTGCATGTTTTCCCCGTGTTGGTGTGGGTTTCCTCTGGGTGATCCCCATAGTGCAAACACATCCCAGCAGGCACAACATAACGTCATGTTGACATTGTACCATAACATCATGGGATGTTGCATTTTGTTTGGAAATGAAAATCTGGTGGACGTCAGAACCCAACATCAGGAAGACGTCAATGTCTAACGTCCAATCTAAAATCAACTTTTAAAAATTGAATTACCATTGTCTAATGATGCTCCAGCTTGACATTGTGTGGACGTTACCGCTGACATCTATCAGACTTTGGATTTTGGTTGTCATACTTGACGAAGAAATGTCAGTATTTGACGTCAATATGATGTTGGTTTAAGATGTTGACTCCATGTTTTTAATTGAATTTTAATTGTGTTAATTTGATTTATTAACAATTGAAATTTGAAATTTTATATGTTGTTAATTTTTTTTTTATTTGAATTTCTGAATTTGAAATAAAACTTCTTAACTTGAATATTGAACATCTGAATTTTAAGACAACTGAAATTTTCAAGGCTGAATTTTTTGATAGATGTAGTTACAAACTTCAGATTTATTAATTATTATTATTATTATTATTATTATTATTATTATTATCTTCATCATTATTATTATCATTCAATCATTCATTCCCTTTATTAATCTGGGGTCACCACAGCGGAATGAACCGGCAACTTATTCAGCACGATTTTATGCAGCGGATGCCCTTCCAGCCTCAACCCATCTCTGGGAAACGGACAATTTAGCCTACCCATTTCACCTGTACCGCATGTCTTTGGACTGTGGGGGAAACCGGAGCACCCGGAGAAAACCCACGCGAACGCAGGGAGAACATGCAAACTCCACACAGAAATGCCAACTGAGCTGAGGTTCGAACCAGTGACCCAGCGACCTTCTAGCTGAGAGGCGACAGCACTATCTACTGCGTCACTGCGTCACCATTATTATTATTATTATTATTATTATTATTATTATTATTATTATTATCATTAATGTTGTTTTTATTATTATTATAATTATTATTATTACTAGTAATATCATCATCATCATTATTATTATTATTATTATTATTAAAATTACTAGCAGTATCATTATTATTATTATTAGTAGTAGTAGTAGTAGTAGTAGTAGTAGTAGTAGTATCATCATTATTATTATTATTATTATTTATTATCATTATTATCATCATCATCATTAATGTTGTTTTTATTATTATTATTATTAATATTATCATTATTAAAATTATTATCATTATTATTATTATTATCATCATCATCATTATTGTTGTTATTATTATCGTTATTATTAATATTATCATTATTGTTGTTACTATATTTATTATTATTATTATTAATAATAATAATAATAATATCATCATTATTATTAGTAGTATCATCATTATTATTATTATCATCATCATTATTGTTATTATTATTTTCATTATTATTATCATTAATATAATTATTATATTATTGTTATTATTATTATTATTATCATTTTTATTATTATTTTTAATAATAATAATTGTATATTTTATAAATAATAATGATTTATTAATATAATAGAAATATTGTTATTTATCACATGTATATATAATCATCAACAACATCATTGCTTTTATAAAGTTATTATCATTACTGTTAGTTATTATCATTAATTAATCTTATCATTAAGTATTATTAAGGTTGATTGTTTGCTGGTCATGCAAGACAAATGTTTTATGTGTTGGAACTGCTAAAAAGTGTTACAAAAATATATTTTTAAAATTTAATATGAAATAATAATTAATCTTATTTAAAAAATTATGTCAGCATTGCTAAGTAAAAAATACTAAAAGTAAAACTATAACACTGTGACGACCTCAAAGTATCTAGGGACAGATCTCTCTATCTTTCACACCTGCGCTCGCACAAACACACATGAACACACAGACATGAACTTACAAATGATTATGCAAATGCACACTTCTGAGAAATCATTCATACTTGTTTTTTTTCCATTTTACTTTCCTGGAAATACCCACAATGCCCTGCAAACGACGAGTGATGAGTGACGTGAAAAGAGGAAAGTGTCTACATTTACTAGTGTCTGATTAATGAAAAACTGCATCAAACGAGCTTCATGTGAACATCTGATCTCACTGAATTAGTTATTAAATCAAAAATAGGATTGAACAAGAGTACACAACAGCTGTAACTGCATTGAGGGAATCAGGAGGTACAGTTGAAGTCAAAATGTTTAACAGATGCAGGAATTTTTCAAAGTATTTCCTATAATATTTTTTCTTCTGGAGAAAGTCTGATTTGTTTTATCTCGGCTAGAATAAAAGCAGATTCAAATTTTTAAAGCCATTTTAATGTTAATATTATCAGCCCACTTAAGCTATATTTGTTTTGGATAGTCTACAGAACAAACCATCGTTATACAATAACTTGTCCAATTACCCTAACTTTACCCTAATTAAGCCTTTAAATGTCCCTTTAAGCTGAATACTAGTGTCTTGAAGAATATCTAGTCAAATATTATTTACTGTCATCATGGCAAAGATAATATAACTCAGTTATTAGAAATGAAACTATTGTGTTTAGAAATGTGTTGGAAAAGTCTTCTCCGTTAAATATGAGGGATTATAATTGTGACTTCATCTGCATATATTAGTGTGTGTTTGGAATATGACACTCATTGGTCTCCAGCACAGAGCTTTTGGGGGCGGGGCGGGGCTTCATGCTCTTTATTTGCACATTTAAACAGCCTTCTTTTCAGATCCAGTAGGTATGGAACTTATTATTTATTGGGAATCAGCTTCCAGCAATGATCAGATGTGCTCCAACTGTAGGCACATTCAAATCAAGACTGAAAACACATCTGTTTAGCTGCGCCTTTACTGAATGAGTACTGTGCTGCGTGCGACAGATCACACTATTATGTTTTTCTCTTCTTTTTTATTCTTTTATATCACATTTTATATGTTTTAATGTTGTTTTTTTTAATCATTTTTATTATTTTATTTATTTTATATTTTTATTTTTTTATACTTGTTTCTTTTATTCTTGTTTATGTATAGCACTTTGAATTATAGTATATCATAGTACATCCATCTGTAAATATCACCAAGGTTTTTGTATAACTTTTGCTATTGCACTGCTGGTAAGACCTAAACTGCAGTTCGTTGCATTGTACTTGTACATGTGTAATGACAATAAAGTTGAATCTAATCTAATCTAGTCTAAAAGTGCCACTGTGTATGAAATGTGCTATTTAAACTTGCCTTGCCTTATTTGGCAAATTTATCTCTTGTTGTAATTTACATTATTTACACATGTATAAAGTGGCTTAATGGAGAAGAACAGAATATTATTCTTTCCTCAATGTCCTTTGCTGACTTAATATAAGTGTTATGTAAAATTACGAATTAAAAAGACAATTATCCAAAAATCACTGCAAATTATCCAAAATAAAAAAACTATTGTATTTTATTGTTATTATAGATAAAGGGACTAAGCCGAAAAGAAAACGAAATGTTATTATAGATAACTAAAACAACATAATATTTTTACAGTAAAATAAACATAAACTAAAGAGTAATGCATATGCTGTGTGTGTGTATTTGAATATATTATATATTATATATTAATATTATATGTTGTTGTATTTTATCACGCAGGTTGTTTTGTTGTTTTGCATTTATTTATTATTAGGTTTTTTAGTCTTAAGCTTTAATCTGTAAATTAGATATAATGTTTATATTAATATTTAAATAATTGTTTATATTATTATTGTTATACTAATTTATAGTTTATTATACTTTTATGTTTATTTATTATTTATTTATATAATATAATATAATATAATATAATATAATATAATATAATATAATATAATATAATATAATATTAATTATTTTGCACTATATTATTCTTCATTTCATCATGTTTTAACAATAATAATATTAGGAATAACAAAAATTAATAATATATTTACATTTTACAATATTATTAATATTGTAATATTTAGGACTGAAATATTTACATTGATTTATTATTTAAAAATAATACTAACAATACAGCTACTACTACTAATAATAATATTAATAATAATAACAATAATAATAATGGTCACACTTTACAATAAGGTTCATTAGTTAATGTTAATTAATGCATTTACTAACATGAAAAAATAATGAACAATACATTTACTACAGTATTTGTTTATGCTAGTTAACGTTAGTTAATGAAAATACAGTAGTTCATTGTTAGTTCATGCTAACTCTTGGTGCATTAACTAATGTTAACAAGCACAGACTTGGATGTTAATAATGCATTAGTAAATGTTCAATTATGATTAATAAATGCTGTACATGTATTGTTCATGATTAGTTCATGTTAGTAAATGCATTATCTAATGAACCTTGTTGTAAAGTGTTACCTTTTTATCATCAAAAAAGAAATAATTGTGTAATTATAAATGTTTTTATCATTCCATGTTTTATTTTGGTGTAATCAGAGTCATTTCACTTAAATTTTTTATATTTTCTGATACTTTCCCAGTGTTTGATCATGTCTGAGTAATAATGCATGTTGAATTCATGAGCAGTGTTCTGTTGTTTGAGTTCATAAGGTCAGAGATGTCATCAATATGGTTTAAAGCTGTGAATGTTTGTTGATTTGTTTGTTGGTCAGATAATTCCTCTTGTTATTGTGTTAATCCTCTAGATTGAGATCAGCGGGCTGGTAAAGCAGTGCGGTCTGACTCACAGACAGGTGGAGACTTGGTTTCGAAACCGCAGAAATCTGGACAGACCCAGCAATACAACAAAGTTCTGTGAGGCCTGGTGAGTCCACAACATTCACACCCTTCTGATCATATCAGTCATAATTCAATTTATATATGCAGTTTTTTAAATTTCCCAAATGATGTTGAACAGATTCTGGAATTTTTTACACTATTTCCTATAATATTTTTTCTTCTGGAGAAAGTCTTATTTGTTTTATTTCAGCTAGAGTAAAATCAGTTTTTTATTTTTTAAACCATTTTAAGGTCAAAACTATTAGCCCCCTTAAGCAACACAGACTCATTCTGAAAACGTAGTCCCGAGGACGTTTCTGGAGACCGCCAATTACGTAGCCAGAGGTACATATGGCTGCATTTCATTTTTTTAAGCGAATGCTATGGGGCGGTATGGCGCTGTTCCTTTTGCCGCTCACCGGCTGACCGCTTACCTCCATGTGGAGGGCTGACGGCGGACTTCAGGTGCAGAGAGGAGTTGGCCACGATGACGGCAACAACCCGGTCCGAGTACAGGAAAGAGCAGTTTCAGAAATCAGCTAAGACAATAACAGAATAAAAAAAAAATGAACAAGTTCAAAACAGGGTATGAATGTGGTAAAATCCGAAAACATGGTAAAAATCAGACAAGGGCTTTTCTTTTTCTCGACGGCTTTTGTAAACAGTTAGTTGGGTCTAGGGAAATAAGCTTGCGGGGGGTCAATTGGTAAAATTGGTTGGGTCTAGGGAAATAAGCGTACAGGGGGTCAATCGGTAAAATTGGTTGGGTCTAGGGAAGTAAGCGTGTGGGGGGTCAATTGGTAAAATTGGTTGGGTTTAGGGAAATAAGCGTGCGGGGGGTCAATCGGTAAAATTAGTTGGGTCTAGGGAAATAAGCGTACGGGGGGTCAATCGGTAAAATTGGTTGGGTCTAGGGAAGTAAGCGTGTGGGGGGTCAATCGGTAAAATTGGTTGGGTTTAGGGAAATAAGCGTGTGGGGGGTCAATCGGTAAAATTAGTTGGGTTTAGGGAAATAAGCGTGTGGGGGGTCAATTGGTAAAATTGGTTGGGTTTAGGGAAGTAAGCGTGCGGGGGGTCAATCGGTAAAATTAGTTGGGTTTAGGGAAATAAGCGTGCGAGGGGTCAATCGGTAGAATTAGTTGGGTCTAGGGAAGTAAGCGTGCGGGGGGTCAATCGGTAGAATTAGTTGGGTCTAGGGAAGTAAGCGTGTGGGGGGTCAATCGGTAAAATTGGTTAGGTCTAGGGAAGTAAGCGTGCGGGGGGTCAATCGGTAGAATTAGTTGGGTCTAGGGAAGTAAGTGTGTGGGGGGTCAATCGGTAAAATTGGTTGGGTCTAGGGAAGTAAGCGTGTGGGGGGTCAATCGGTAAAATTAGTTGGGTCTAGGGAAGTAAGCGTGCGGGGGGTCAATCGGTAGAATTAGTTGGGTCTAGGGAAGTAAGCGTGTGGGGGGTCAATCTGTAAAATTGGTTGGGTCTAGGGAAGTAAGCGTGTGGGGGGTCAATCGGTAAAATTAGTTGGGTCTAGGGAAGTAAGCGTGTGGGGGGTCAATTGGTAAAATTGGTTGGGTCTAGGGAAGTAAGTGTGTGGGGGGTCAATCGGTAAAATTAGTTGGGTCTAGGGAAGTAAGCGTGCGGGGGGGTCAATCGGTAAAATTGGTTGGGTTTAGGGAAGTAAGAGTGCGGGGGGTCAATTGGTAAAATTGGTTGGGTCTAGGGAAATAAGCGTACAGGGGGTCAATCGGTAAAATTGGTTGGGTCTAGGGAAGTAAGCGTGTGGGGGGTCAATCGGTAAAATTAGTTGGGTCTAGGGAAATAAGCGTACGGGGGGTCAATCGGTAAAATTGGTTGGGTCTAGGGAAGTAAGCGTGTGGGGGGTCAATCGGTAAAATTGGTTGGGTTTAGGGAAATAAGCGTGTGGGGGGTCAATCGGTAAAATTAGTTGGGTTTAGGGAAATAAGCGTGTGGGGGGTCAATTGGTAAAATTGGTTGGGTTTAGGGAAGTAAGCGTGCGGGGGGTCAATCGGTAAAATTAGTTGGGTTTAGGGAAATAAGCGTGCGAGGGGTCAATCGGTAGAATTAGTTGGGTCTAGGGAAGTAAGCGTGCGGGGGGTCAATCGGTAGAATTAGTTGGGTCTAGGGAAGTAAGCGTGTGGGGGGTCAATCGGTAAAATTGGTTAGGTCTAGGGAAGTAAGCGTGCGGGGGGTCAATCGGTAGAATTAGTTGGGTCTAGGGAAGTAAGCGTGTGGGGGGTCAATCGGTAAAATTGGTTGGGTCTAGGGAAGTAAGCGTGTGGGGGGTCAATCGGTAAAATTAGTTGGGTCTAGGGAAGTAAGCGTGCGGGGGGTCAATCGGTAAAATTGGTTGGGTTTAGGGAAGTAAGCGTGCGGGGGGTCAATCGGTAAAATTGGTTGGGTTTAGGGAAGTAAGCGTGCGGGGGGTCAATCGGTAAAATTGGTTGGGTTTAGGGAAGTAAGCGTGTGGGGGGTCAATTGGTAAAATTGGTTGGGTCTAGGGAAATAAGCGTGCGGGGGGTCAATCGGTAAAATTTGTTGGGTCTAGGGAAGTAAGCGTGTGGGGGGTCAATTGGTAAAATTGGTTGGGTCTAGGGAAGTAAGCGTGTGGGGGGTCAATCGGTAAAATTGGTTGGGTCTAGGGAAGTAAGCGTGTGGGGGGTCAATTGGTAAAATTGGTTGGGTCTAGGGAAATAAGCGTGCGGGGGGTCAATTGGTAAAATTTGTTGGGTCTAGGGAAGTAAGCGTGTGGGGGGGTCAATTGGTAAAATTGGTTGGGTCTAGGGAAGTAAGCGTGTGGGGGGTCAATCGGTAAAATTGGTTGGGTTTAGGGAAGTAAGCGTGCAGGGGGTCAATGAGTAAAACTGGTTGGGTCTAGGGAAATAAATGTGCGGGGGGTCAATCGGTAAAATTGGTTGGGTTTAGGGAAGTAAGAAACGTCCACAGGACTACGTTTTCAGAATGAGCCAGGGTTGCCCTTAGCTCTATTTGTTTTGGATCATCTACATAACAAACCACTGCCTTTAAATGTCACTTTAAGCTGAATAATAGTGTCTTGACAAATATTTAGTCAAATATTATGTGCCGTATTATTATTCTGTCCGTATTATGTGCATCGTGGCAAAGATAAAATAATAATCATCAATAACATCATTAGAAATGAGTTATTAAAACTATTATGAATAGCAAAATCTTCTTTCTATTAAGTGAAGTTTATTTATAATCTAATTTCAAGAGGATCGCGTGCTCATGATTATTCTCTGCTGGTTCCACATCAGCTCACGATTGATTCTTGATTGATTTCATAGTCAAGCTCTTAGCAATTACATCTCTCCTCAGCCAGCCTATATTTGTCATTTGCCAGAAATAAGCCGGGCAAGTGCATCAAGATCTACCTGAGCTCAAACTTTCCTCTCGCCCTGCAAACGGGAGGGAGCCCAGGGTTCAAGGATCTCATAAGCTCAGTGGGGCAAATAATTCAACAATATTGACCTTATTCTAAAATGCGTAACTGCGCCTGTTTTCGTGATTGTCTTAGAACTTCCGATTCAGTCGTCTATGGGAGAAATGACAAGGAATAGTAAACGGCAGAAAACGGTCAAACTACTTGCTCTACAAACAAATGTTTGCATGACTATACAGACCACGTAGAATAATACAACAAGGAAATATCAAATTGCAACATCAAACAGCGTAATGAGCAGTTTTTAATGTCTAAAAAGGAATGGAAGTGAATGAGACCGGAAGTCTCGAGCCAAAAAGATTCAAATGGCAGCGCCCGCTCGTCGGCGGAGAATAAGGTCAAGACAGGGGGCAAATAATTCAGTAGGGCTAAAAATTATATATATATATATATATAAATAAACAAGGAAATTATTAAATATTTAAATTTTTCATAATTGAAATTTTTATTTTTAATAATTATACTAAATTGTCATTAATAACAGCTCTAAGTAACTTTAATAAATTCATTCATTCATTTTCTTTTCGGCTAAATCCCTTTATTAATCTGGGGTCGCCACAGTTGAATGAACCACCAACTTATCCAGCATATGTTTTACGCAGTGGATGCCCTTTCAGCTGCAACCCAGTACTGGGAAACACCCATACACATTCATATTCACACACATACACTATCGCCAACACAGGGAGAACATGCAAACTCCACACAGAATCCTAGCCGGGACTCGACACAGTGACCTTCTTGCTGTGAGGCGACAGCCCTACCAGCTTTGCCCCTATGCCGCTCTAATTTCAGTATTAATATTATTATTATTATTATCACTAATGGTAGTATTATTAATATTAATTTATCATTATTATTATTCAAACTGTATTAAATATTTATTAATTCAATTTTACTGTTGTTAAAATTACTAATAATTAAAATGTCATTAATTTTGGAATTTAATTTACTTATACATGGACATATTAATATAATCTTAATTGCTTATAAATTTGCTGGTACTTCTTCAGGTTTTAAGCCTTTGTAATTAGTTTATTTTCCAGTTTTAATAAATAATTATTCATTTAAATGTATGATTTTGACAAATTAGTTTTATTATTGTTATTGATATATGCATTGATTTTTTAATTTTCCTTTATCTTAGTCCCTTTATTCGTTAGAGGTCGCCACAGCGGAATGAACCCCCAACTTATCCAGCATATATTTTACACAGAGGATGCCCTTCCAGCCGCAACCCAGTACTAGGAAATACCCATACACACTCATTCATACACTACAGCCAATTTAGTTAATCAAATCCCCTATAGCGCATGTGTTTGGAATGTAAGTAGCACACAGAGGAAACCCACGCCAACATGCGGAGAACATGCAAACTCCACACGGAAATGACAACTGGCCCAGCTCGAACCAGCGACTTTCTTGCTGTGAGGTGACAGTGCTAACATCAGTCATCGTACCTCCTTCTTGTCAATTTTGAAAAACATTTTTGATCCACTTCAAACATTGACTACTGTATAAAATGGATGTTTATTTAGCTATTTCCAGCACATTAACCAGATAATCCTCTGTGTTCCTCCTCAGCTGGAGGTTTGCCTTCTACCTGGTGGCCTTCACCGCGGGACTGCTGTCTTTAATTAACGTGAGTGTCGTTTCAAGCTTTATTCCTCAGGAGTCTTCATCTAATTACTGTCGTTCAGAGGAGATGCTTTATTGAGGAGATCTGTGTTGTTTTCAGTGCACGCGTCTCTAATGAGGCTCTGAAACTCATCACAGGCCCTCGGGACACACTCCAAACAATACTACAGTGACTTAGACGAAATGCTCCAGTGTTTTTAAAACATAACTATAGTAAAGTGTATTATTCTGAATGTATTATCACCTTTATAAGTCGCTGTTAATGAATGCTCTATCTTACTGCAATATTAACTATAGTGTACTGATAAACTGTTACGAATATTGTTCTGTACTTTAGTTTAAACTACCTTAAACTGTGGTGTATTATAGCATAATATATTGAAAACTACAGTATTGGGTCATTTGTTTATGTCACTGTAGTGGGTGCGTTACTTTAGCAACTATAGAAATAACACAATAGATGAATTACTATAGTTGTTGTGTTACCATAGCAACTAGAGAATTAGCACAACATATCAATTACTGTAATTGTCGTGTTACCATAGTAACTAAAGAATTAGCACAACATATCAATTACTGTAGTTGTCGTGTTACCATAGTAACTAAAGAATTAGCACAACAGATCAATTACTGTGGTTGTCGTGTTACCATAGCAACTATAGATTTAGCACAACAAATCAATTACTGTAGTTGTTGTTTCCATAGCAACTATAGATTTAGCTGAAAAGATCAACTACTATAGTTGTGTAATCATAGCAACTATAGAATTAGCCAAACAAATCAATTACTGTAGTTGTTGTGTTGCCATAGCAGCTATAGAATTAACACAATAGGTAAATTGCTGTAGTTGTGTTACCATAGCAACTATAGACTTAGCACAACAGATCAATTACTTTAGTTGGTAGTTACCATAGCAACTAAAGAATTAGCACAACATATCAATTACTGTAGTTGTCATGTTACCATAGCAACTAAAGAATTAGCACAACAGATCAATTACTGTAATTGTCATGTTACCATAGCAACTAAAGAATTAGCACAACAAATCAATTACTGTAGTTGTTGTGTTACCATAGCAACTAAAGAATTAGCACAACAGATCAATTACTGTAGTTGTCATGTTACCATAGCAACTAAAGAATTAGCACAACAGATCAATTACTGTAGTTGTCATGTTACCGTAGCAACTAAAGAATTAGCACAACAGATCAATTACTGTAGTTGTCGTGTTACCATAGCAACTAAAGAATTAGCACAACAGATCAATTACTGTAGTTGTCATGTTACCATAGCAACTAAAGAATTAGCACAACAGATCAATTACTGTGGTTGTCGTGTTACCATAGCAACTATAGATTTAGCACAACAAATCAATTACTGTAGTTGTTGTTTCCATAGCAACTATAGATTTAGCTGAAAAGATCAACTACTATAGTTGTGTAATCATAGCAACTATAGAATTAGCCAAACAAATCAATTACTGTAGTTGTTGTGTTGCCATAGCAGCTATAGAGTTAACACAATAGGTAAATTGCTGTAGTTGTGTTACCATAGCAACTATAGACTTAGCACAACAGATCAATTACTTTAGTTGGTTAGTTACCATAGCAACTAAAGAATTAGCACAACATATCAATTACTGTAGTTGTCATGTTACCATAGCAACTAAAGAATTAGCACAACAGATCAATTACTGTAATTGTCATGTTACCATAGCAACTAAAGAATTAGCACAACAAATCAATTACTGTAATTGTCATGTTACCATAGCAACTAAAGAATTAGCACAACAAATCAATTACTGTAGTTGTTGTGTTACCATAGCAACTAAAGAATTAGCACAACAGATCAATTACTGTAGTTGTCATGTTACCATAGCAACTAAAGAATTAGCACAACAGATCAATTACTGTAGTTGTCGTGTTACCGTAGCAACTAAAGAATTAGCACAACAGATCAATTACTGTAGTTGTCGTGTTACCATAGCAACTAAAGAATTAGCACAACAGATCAATTACTGTAGTTGTCATGTTACCATAGCAACTAAAGAATTAGCACAACATATCAATTACTGTAGTTGTCATGTTACCATAGCAACTAAAGAATTAGCACAACAGATCAATTACTGTAGTTGTTGTGTTACCATAGCAACTAAAGAATTAGCACAACAGATCAATTACTGTAGTTGTCATGTTACCATAGCAACTAAAGAATTAGCACAACAGATCAATTACTGTAGTTGTCATGTTACCATAGCAACTAAAGAATTAGCACAACATATCAATTACTGTAGTTGTCATGTTACCATAGCAACTAAAGAATTAGCACAACTACAATTACTGTAGTTGTCATGTTACCATAGCAACTAAAGAATTAGCACAACAGATCAATTACTGTAGTTGTCGTGTTACCATAGCAATTATAGAATTAGCACACATTAGATCAAGTACTATTGTTGTTGTGTTACCATAGCAGCTATAGCATTATCACTACAGATCAATTACTGCAGTTGTTGTGTTACCATAACAACTAAAGAATTAGCTCAACATGTCAATTACTATAGTTTTTGCATTACCATAGCAACTATAGAATCACCACAACACATTAATTGAAGTATTTACTATAGTATGGTTCAAAATCACTGCAGGATTTATTATAAGTCACTACAGTATTTTTTCATGAGGGTATCTGCACTTGTGTTACTGTGGGCTGTTTGTGGAGTGATGGTGTTTTTCTTCCTCACAGACGGCCTGGTTCTGGGATCAGAGAGAGTGCTGGAGAGGGTTTCCTCGACAGGTCAGATTAATGCACACAAACACATTCATTCATAAGAAACATACTAGCAGACTAGTTAGTGTACTCTACTTCATGCAGCATACGTGGACCTAATAACTATTTAATCTTTTGATAACAAAAAGAAGAAAGTTGAGTTAAAAAATGTTTGTTTATTTCAGTTGAGGTTTATTAATATTACTAATTGTCATGACAGAGTAAACAAATTGAATGACCATATAATTGTGTGTGTGTGTGTGTGTGTGTGTGTGTGTGTGTGTGTGTGTGTGTGTGTGTGTGTGTGTGTATGTGTTTGTTTATTGTGTTTATGTGTGTGTCTGCGTCTATCTATCTGTGTGTATGTGTGTTCAAAAATGTTTGTGCAAATGTGTTTATTTGTCTGTCTTTCTGTCTGTCTGTTTGTCTTTCTATCTGTCTGTCTGTCTTTCTATCTGTCTGTCTGTCTTTCCATCTGTCTGTCTGTCTGTCTGTGCTTGTATATATGTGTGTGTGTGTGCCTGTTTGTTTGTGCAAATGTGTGTGTGCAGCCTCTGCAGGAGCTTCATTACTGGTACTACATGCTGGAGTTGTCCTTCTACTGGTCTCTGCTGCTCTGTGTGTCTGTGGACGTCAAGCGAAAAGTAAGATCTGACACTAAACTCTCCTTCAGTCCAACTGTTTGTGTTCTGAATGACTGAGTGCGGCTGTTACACTAAACTCCCTCTCTAAAGTCTCTCTCTCTCTCTGTAAGGGTGTACTCACACTTGGCATGGTTGTCTTGAACCATGCCCAGACGCTATTGTCCCCTCTCTCTTCTCCACCTCAGTCTGCACTCACACTGCAATATTACCTTCCGAGCCGAAGCATGCTTCCGTCATTAATGATGCGCTGTTCAGTTTAACAGAAGAGCAGCACTCTCTCTCAGCACAGTGGACATTTCTTTAGTTCTGTTGTTTGTATTATTTAAGTCATTTTGGATGTAGTGACACAGTCAAACATTTTGCCAAACAGATCCAGCATTTTTTGATGAGCTAGCAATTCAGCTAAAATGAAGCTAAAAAATGTTAATATCAAGGATATATGTAGGATATAATAAGGAGATTTATATATATATATATATATATATATATATATATATATATATATATATATATATATATATATATATAAATGATGTAAATATAAATGATGTAAATATAAAGGATTAAAATATTACAAAACATATTATTTTCTAGCCTACATAAATATAAACACTACTGCCTTCATGCCTTCATCTCTTGAGGCTTTTTCTGTTCATTCAATTTGCTTAAGTTATCATTATTAGCAGTATTATTTATTATATGCATATTTATATTTGTTTTATTAAAAACAAGCTTAGATTTGTCCACCTGTCAGGTTTTAGACCATATGGGGCGCAGCATGTGTTTTAGGATATAACTCAGTATTTTGAACACACTTCGTTATTATTGTTCATTTATTCGTTTGCTGGAAATTTGGAAAGTTGGAAAATTGGAAAGTTTTTAAACAAATCTTTGCGCTTAACAAACAAAATTAATTATTTATAAGCTAATTCAGAGGTTCTCAAAGTGGGGGTCGGGACCCCCCGAGGGGTCGCGGGACAATGAAGGGGGGTCGCCTGGTGATTTCCAAAAATCAATTAATTTTTATTAAACCTTAAGACTTACTGTACTTTATCAATAACCTACAGATGAGAAAAAATAGTCGTTTATAGTTACTATAAACTATATAGTTACTATAGTAGCTTATAGTTACTTGTTCTATTGGATTGCGACTTCTCGAGTAATTACATTATACTAAAGGCACAGCAATACTTTCAGATGCAGCAGATTTTATAACACCAGGTTAAACTTTCTAGCCCATTTACAGCACTGACATACATAAAAAAACAAAAACAAAGAATAGACTTGGGTCTATTGGTGTGTGTGCGTCATTGCATACAAGGTTTCTGTATTTATAACCACCACCTCAGAGAAAATTGGGGGTCACGAGTCACTGGCATTGTCATTTTGGGGGTCGCGGGCTGAAAAGTTTGGGAACCCCTGAGCTAATTGATGTCTGTGCGTACAAGGTTTCCCTATCCAAGAGCGAAAGTGAAAGTTAATAATTTATCTCTCATTCTCGCGCTGCTGATGTTCTGTTTAACTGTTTTCTTGCTAGTGAAATGCTCAGTTTTTTCCACTTAGACTTACTTTACGTCGTGTAAATAGCAAATGTGCTTATGGTGCGACGCAACTGTTTCTTAAAGGGAATGGGAGACGAGACTCTAATTGGTTTATTCTCAAAACACAGCTATAACTCATTAAGAAAATAAGCTCAACCCTTTTAGACCAGGCGCCACGGCGCAAAGCGGATTTTCCCGGCCTTAAATTAGCAAAAGTGGATTCTGACATGCCCTAAATGTGTTTGCGCCCTGCGCTTTGCACTTTGCGCATGGATCGTCAAAATAGAGCCCTGAATCTCATTTCGGAGTCTGCCACTGTCCACCAGAGGTCACATTTCAGTCAGGGGCGCATTCTTTGAGAGCCCTCATGACTGACTGAATTAAATACACAGTGTTCCATGAAGGCAACCCTGGATGCTGAAATATGATTGGCTTAGCTGGCATTGGCCGGGTTTAATAACCAAAACAATTACAGCCGTTCCGGCGAACAACTCGCATGTTCAAAGCAGAATATCTGACTACAGCAGATAAACAAGAACGTTCACTTAGCATGTTTCTGAAATACCTGCAAACATATGATGGTGTTTTTATACTTTAGAAGAGTCAAAAACCTACACACAGTACCTTTAAAGGCTTAACTGGGTTATATATGTTAATTAGACAAGTCATTGGACAACAGTGGTTTGTTCCTCAGTCAGTCAGTCAAAAAAAAAAAATCAAAGGGGACTAATAATATTGACCACAGCAGTTATTATTCATTCATTCATTTATTTTCTTGTCGGCTTAGTCCCTTTATTAATCCGGGGTCGCCACAGCGGAATGAACCGCCAACTTATCCAGCAAGTTTTTACGCAGCGGATGCCCTTACAGCCGCAACCCATCTTTGGGAAACATCCACACACATTTACACACACACTCATACACTATGGACAATTTAGTCTACCCAATTCACCTGTACCGCATGTGTTTGGACTGTGAAGGGAAACCGGAGCACCCGGAGGAAACCCACACCAAGGCAGGGAGAACATGCAAACTCCACACAGAAATGCAACTGAGCCGAGGCTCGAACCAGTGACCCAGCGACCTCATTGCTGTGAGGCGACAGCACTACCTACTGCGCCACTGCCTTGCCCCAGCAGTTTTTATATTGATATTTAAATTTCATAAAGAAATAAGACTTAAATAAGACTAAAAAAAGGAAATACTGTAAAACTATTTGAAAAATAATTACAATTTCACAGGAAAGCAAATAATTTAGTATGTATGTGTAGAAATGTGTAATTTAACTCGCTGTGAGGTGAGTTAAATGATGTCGTCTCACAGCAAGAAGGTCGCAGATTCGAGTCTCGGCTCGGTCAGTTGGCATTTCTGTGTGGAGTTTGCATGTTCTCCCCTTGTTGGCGTGGGTTTACTCCGGGTGCTCCGGTTTCACCCACAGTCCAGACACATGCGCTATAGGGGAACTGATAAACTAAATTGTCCGTAGTGTATGAGTGTGTGTAGGTGTTTCTCAGTGATGAGTTACAGCTGAAAGGGCATCTGCTGCGTAAAACAAATGTTGGAATAGTTGGCGGTTCACTCCGCTGTGGCGACCTCTGATAAATCAGATCACTTCCAGAATCACTAAGCCGAAGGAAAATGAAAGAATGAATAAAGTTAAATGACTTTTCCTTTTTAACACTTGATTACTCTAAAGGAGTCCAAGTGTGTTTAATTTGAGCCTGCATGTTTATTTCTGGCAAAACAGCATTCATATCGCTGTAAAAACATTAAGTAATCTGATAAGTGCTTACTTTCTGAAGAGAAAGTCATCAGAGTTCAGCGGTTTGTCAAGAGGAGTAAATAAACGAGTTTATCAACAAAATCAGACCCTGAAATATGTCAGATATGAGGAAAAGGATTAATATATTTCACTGAGTGTTTCTTACAGCGATTATATATCCTCATAGAATATTTTACAGAAAGTGATTGTCTTACAGGAAGTAAAGAACAGGAAGATACTTCAGTGCTTCATACAACCTGTGTGTTGTTTAAAATAAAAACTGTATGATCAACACGCATTAAGTACTCATGTACACCACCTCGAGAGAAGTCAGCTGAGGTGGCTCGGGCATCTGTTTCAGATGCCTCCTGGACGCCTACCTAGGGAGGTGTTCCATGCATGTCTCACCAGGAGGAGGCCTCAGGGAAGACCCAGGATACGCTGGAGGGTCTCTTGGCTGGCCTGGAATTGCCTGGCGATCCCCCGGAAGAGCTGGAGGAAGTGTCTAGACTGAGGGAAGCCTGAGACTGCTGCCCTCGTGACACAACACTGGCAAAAGCGGATGAAAAATAATGAATGAACAAACAGCACATGTCATTATTGAAGATTGTTCCCATTCCTTGTATATATATATATATATATATATATATATATATATATATATAGTTGAAGTCAGAATTAATAGGTTAACTAGGCAGGTTAGGGTAATTAGGCAAGTTATTGTATAACGATAATTTGTTCTGAAGACAGTCAGAAAAGAAATTAGCTTAAAGGGGCTAATAATTTTGTCCTTAAAATGATTCATAAAAAAATAAAATCTACTTTTATTCTCGCTGAAATAAAACAAATAAGAATTTCCCCAGAAGGAAAAAATATTATCAGACATACTGTGAAAATATCATTGCTCTGTTAAACATCATTTGGGAAATATTTAAAAAGAAAGAAAAAAATGAAAGGGGGGCGAATAATTCTGACTTCAACTGTGTGTATATATATATTATATATATATATTTTTTTGCCTTCGAAAAAGCTTTTTGGCAACCTCAAATATAGAAAAAATGTGTATCAGATTGATATTCTCCCTGCCATTATAATTTTGAATACTGGGTCTTATGTGTGAATAGGGTTTAAAATTGTTTTAGGGGTTTTAATAAGTGATATTGAATGTATTGTGTATTATTTGTGATGTGAATGCTGATGTTGTGTGGTGAAACCAATAATACATTTCCACTTTATAGACAATAAGAGAAAGAAATAAGAAAGAGGATTACCCTAGTGAAGCCTTTAAATGTCACTTTAGGCTGAATACTAGTATCTTGATAAATATCTAGTCTAATATTATTTACTGTCATCATGGCAAAGATCAAATAAATCAGTTATTAGAAATGAGTTATTAAAAGTATTATGATTAGAAATGTGCTAAAAAAACTCTGTTAAACAGAAACTGGGGGAAATCTGCATGGGGGTTAATAATTGAGACTCCATCTGTAAATGAACATGACTCATCTGCTGTTCGCTGTGGCATTAATGCTGTTTTCTTGATATTTTCTGTTGTTTCAGGACTTTAAAGAGCAGATCATCCACCACTTTGCCACAATTTTCCTGCTGGGTTTCTCGTATTGTTCGAACTACATCCGCATCGGGACACTAGTGATGCTCGTCCACGATGCCTCCGACTTTCTGCTGGAGGTACAAACACAAATATTCCAAACACACACACATGCTTAAAATTCTACCAAAAAATGTTTGTTTCCTGCTCCACACACACCGAAAATCCCCCAAAACTGCCTGTTCACGTCTGTTTCCTGCTCCACACACACCCACACACATGCACACACACACACATGTTCCTGCTCCACACACACCTGTTTCTCCTCACCTGATCTCAGTGTGAGGCATTTAGAGGATTTACTGTGTTCAGAGGTTTTTGGTTTAGTTTTTTTTAGGGTATTTTTTAGAGTGTCAATAATTCAAAAGCTGAAGCTAGCCATCAAGGAAATAAAAAAACTAAACAGCTAGTCAGAAATATTTCTTGATTTCAGTTTAATTTAATTGTATTTCATTATTTTATTCATTTATTTAACATTATTGATTATGTATATTATAGATGTCAGTTATTTATTAATTAATTTATTTATTAATTAATTATTTTGTTTATTTATTTATTCATTCATTAATTTATTTATGTATATAGAATTTTTTTTTATCTTTGCCATGATGACAGTACCTAATATTTTACTAGATTTTTTAAAATTTAATTGTAATTAGGTTTTTATTTATTTTAGTATAAATAGAAATAAAAATATATATTTATTAAAAATTTATTTTTATTTATTTATTTTTAATTTGAGTGGGAAAAGATAATTTTATTTTTTTATTTAATTAAATGTAGTTTTATCATAATTTAATTAAATAAAATGTTAGTCTTCTTTAATTATATAATTTATAAAAATTATATCACATACAACAATTTATATATATCCTTGACAAGAAGCTGAAATACAATTAATTATTATTATTATTTTTTTGAGTAGCAGAAGATGATGAATACGATGATTATACACACAAACATATTTTTATTTATTTATTTAATCATTTAAAGTTTTACAATTTATTTTATTATTATTTTTTTTTGGAGCAGCGGGCAAAATGAGAACGATGAGGATAGTTTTTTTATTTATTAAAATTAAGTGAATTTTTTTTCATTTAATTAAATACTATTTTTGTTTTATTATGTTGTAAAATTTTTTGATTTTTATATGCAATATAAGAATATTTTATTTTCATTCATTCATTTATTTTTCATCAGCTTAGTGCCTTTATTACTCAGGGGTCGCCACAATGAAATGAACCGCCAACTTATCCAGCATATGTTTTACGGAGCGGATGCCCTTTCAGCTGCATTCCATCACTGGGAAACACCCATACACTCTCATTCACACTCATACACTACCAACGATTTAGCTTACTCAATTCTCCTATAGCGCATGTGTTTAGAGTGTGGGCTGTGGGGTAATCCGGAGCGCCCGGTAACATGGGGAGAACAATCAAAGTCCACACAGAAACGCCAACTGACCCAGCCGAGACTCAAACCAGTTACCTTCTTGCCATCGCGCCGCCTTAATTTATTTATTTTTCTTCATTTTTATTTTATTTTCTTCATTTTTATTTTATTTTATTTTGTTTTATTTTATTTTATTTTGTTTTATTTTATTTTATTTTTTTTTCACCACAGTGACCCTTATATGGAAGGGTATATGACACAAGTTAAAACTTTTTCTTTAATGTTTTATACAACAATACCCTAATAAAATTCCTTATTATAATGCCCTATGATCAACAGACTAAATGAACTGAACTCTTTTGCTGTTTTCTGCAGTCTGCCAAGATGTTTAACTACGCCGGCTGGAAGAAAACCTGCGACTCCTTATTTGTGATCTTCGCTGCTGTTTTCCTGGTGACTCGACTGCTGGTGTTTCCTAGCAAGTGAGAGTTTGAAGTATTGATTTTCCATCTAAAACTATGAGAGTGTGTGTTTGAGTATATAATACTGTGTGTGTTTTTGTGCTCAGGATCATCTACACCACTCTGGTTTTGTCGATGGAGGTGTTTGAGCCGTTTCTGGGTTATTATTTCTTCAATGCGTTGCTGTTGGTGCTGCAGGCGCTGCACATTTACTGGGCTTACTTAATCCTCAGGATGGTCTACAAGTTCCTCTTCTTGGGGAAAGTGAGTCAGATTATTATTATTTTGAATATTATTATTGTTATTATTATTATTATTACTGTTAATATTATTATTATTAATAATAATAATAATAATAATAAAAACAATAAAAACAATAATTTAGTATAATTATTATTAACCCTTTATTATTTTTTAATAATAAACTAATGATTATTATTATTAACCCATCATTATTATTATTATTATTATTATTATTATTATTATTATTATTATTATTAATACTACTACTAATAATAATAATAATAACAATAATCAAGTATAATTATTATTAACCCATTGTTATTTTTTTAATAATAAACTAATTATTATTTTATTATTGTTATTAACCCATTATTATTATTATTATTATTATTATTATTATTATTATTATTATTATTATTATTATTAGCAATAATAATAATAACAATCCAGTATAATTATAATTAACCTCTTATTATTTTTAAATAATAAACTAATTATTATTAATATTATTATTAACACAGTATTATTATTATTATACTCTTATTTTTTTATTAACAATAATCCAGTATAATTACTTTTTAATAATAAACTAATTATTATTAATATTATTATTAACCCATTATTATTATTATTATTATTATTATTATTATTATTATTATTATTATTATTGTTATTATTATTATTATTAATATTAATATTAATGTTCATGTTCATATTAATATTATTATTATTATTATTATTATTATTTACCCATTATTTGTAGTATTATTATTAAGCATTAAGCATTATACAAGCATTATTAATATTAACCCATTATTATTATTATTATTATTATTATTATTGTTATTTTAACCCAATTTTATTATTATTATTATTATTATTAATTTTATTATTAATATTATTCAGTATAATAAAAATAATAATAACCCATTCTTATTATTAACCCATCATCATCATCATTATTATTATTATTATTATTGTTGTTGTTGTTGTTGTTGTTGTTGTTGTTGTTATTATTGTTGTTGTTGTTGTTGTTGTTATTATTATTATAAATTAAAATAATAAAAAACCCATTATTATTAAGCAATTATTGTTATTATTAATAACGCATTATTATAATTATCATTATCATTATTATTATCATTATTATAATTTTTAACCCATTATTACTATTATTATTATTCCATTTGTCAGAGCTATATAAGCCCCAAAATATTACATACACTTCATGTACACTTAAAATTGATAAAATACAGAAATTTTTAATGTCACACTTTTTACTTGTTCCTCTTATTATTATTAATATTATTTTAGTACTAATTATACATATTTTATTATTAATATTATATTAATTTTCACTTTTATTATGTCTTATTTAAATTAAAATAACTTAAAACTAGCTAAAATAAAATATTTATTTTCAACATTTATTAAAATTATTAAATTTTATATAAATATGAAAAAAACAAATATATATATATATATATATATATATATATATATATATATATATATATATATATATATATATATATATATATAACTGTATAATATGTATAATTATACACACACACACACACAACACACACACACACACACTGTATATATAAATACAGTTGAAGTCAGAATTATTAACCCCCTGAATTATTAGCCCCGCTGTTTATTTTTTCCCCAATTTCTGTTTAACAGAGAGCAGATTTTTTCGGCACATTTCTAATCATAATAGTTTTTATAACTCATCTCTAATAACTGATTTGTTTTATCTTTGCCATGATGACAGTAAATAATATTTTACTAGATATTTTTTAAGACACTTCTATACAGCTTAAAGTGATATTTAAAGGCTTAACTAGGTTAATTAGGTTAACTAGGCAGGTTAGGGTAATTAGGCAAGTTATTGTATAAAGATGGTTTGTTCCTTAGATTATCAAAAACAAATATATCTTAAAGGGGCTAATAATTTTGACCTTAAAATGGTGTTTAAAAAATAAAAACTGCTTTTATTCTAGCAAAAATAAAACAAATAATACTTTCTCCAGAAGAAAAAATATTATTAGACATACTGTGAAAATTTCTTTGCTCTGTTAAACAGCATTTGGGAAATATTTAATAAAGAAACAAAAATTCAAAGGGCGGCTAATAATTCTAACTTCAACTGTATATAATGAAAGCTGTTTTCTAGGCTGATATGTCTATAGGAACTATACTCTCATTCCATTGTAATAATCAAGGAATGTTGCTGCCGTACAAAAGATTCAAGCTTTAAATAGGAAAATTATCAAAACTCTTTGGTCATTTTTGAGCGAGATGCTAATGGACTAATCCGATTCAATGATCTATGCTATGCTAAGCTAAGCTAAAAGTGCTCCTGCTAGTCCCAGAGATCGGCTGTATGTACAGTACAATTCATAAAGCTCAACAGTTTAACTCTACACTGTAAAACTATCTGTGAATGTACAGTTTCTGCATTTTTGGATTCACAAGTGTTTATTTGCGGCTCTTCTCTCCATCAGCTGGACAAAGACGAGCGCAGTGATGTGGAAACTGAGCCAGAAGAGGAAGAAGAAGAGGAAAAAGAGGAAGAAGAGGAAGAGCAGAGGAGCTGGAGGAAGAGGAAGGTGGTGCTGGACTCCCGCCGGGCCATGCTGAGCTCCAGCTGCGTTCTCAATAACCTCACCCAGCAGAAAGCAGACGCTCAAAGACGACCCAAAGCCAGATAGCACACACAGATAACCCAACATCAACATCATCAACATCATCGTTCAGTCTAACATCAGTTTCCAGATCCAAGCACTACTAAAAATAAATAATCTCAACTGAAACATGACGAGAGGGCGGGACACATATAGCTCCTCCCCTAGTTTTTAATCACAGCTCTGCCAGTGAGAGTGGTCGAGCTCAAGCTCATCAAATGAAAAGCCAGTGAGAAGAAGGGGGCGGGGCATGTCAGATACTAGAGAGCATTTGATTGGTCAATATATTTAATAAGAAACAAAGGGTGACTGTTTAAAAATCTTTAAACGGCTAAATTCAAAACAGATAGACGGACACCCATATCTGTTGTACGCTTCCTGTCTCTTGGCATACTGTAAACAAACAAACAAACAAACAAAACATCGACCACATTGTGGCCTTTGAGAGAATGTACTTTTTAAAAATGAGCGATACCTGGGTATTGAAACATGTGGAATTAAATACATAAATCATAATACTGTAGTGTAAACATAACACAGTTTTAACAAATTTTATGTCATTCGAAAGCTTAAAATGTGTAGTTTCCATATCTGCTGACAGATATTTGATTGATAATACTGGGAAACAGTTATTAATTTGTTTGTCTCATCTGAGTCGTTAAAAAAACATTACTTCGCTACAGCAATCCACATGTAAACATGTTTAAGAGGCTAAATTCAAATCAAATTCCACCAAACTGCTCGTACTACAATATACTACAATGATGTCTGCTTTAGAAGTTATATCAAAAGTATTAAAAAATATGATTCAAATTCCTCAAAACATACACAGAAATAGTGGACGCCCTTATATGGTCATCAGTGTTAACATCTGGTGGTCATGTGTGGTACTGCACACAAACAAAGCTTTACTAAAACCTCATTTTTTGTGACATCAACTCCAAAATTGGAAGATAATTTGCTCAGATACTTAGCTTAGTAGTCACATTTGGGCTAATACAGATTAATTAAAATACATATTTTATCTATTTGCTTAAGCAGGACTGTAGCTCAGTGGTTACCACAGTCGCTTCACAGCAAGAATGTCATAAATCATAATATTGTAGTGTAAACATAAAGCAATCATTCACAAGCTTAAAGTGTCTAGTTTCCATATCTGCTGACAGATTTTTGATAGATATTACTTTGCAACAGTCATTTATTAATAGTTGTCAAACAATACTTTGCTACAGCAATCCACATGTAAACATGTTTAAGAGGCTAAATTCAAAGGAAATTACTCCAAACAGCTCGTACTACTTATAATTTGATGTCTTCTTCACAAAAATTGTCAAACATATTAAACATATGGTTCATATTCCTCAAAAAAAACATGCAGAGAAATAGTGGACGCCCTTATATGGTCATCAGTGTTAATAGAATGTCATCTGGTGGTCATGTGTGGTACTGCACACAAATAATTTTACTAGTTCATTTTTTTTGAGATATCCACTAAAAAATTAGACTATAATTTCCTCAGATACTAAGCTGTGATGTTCTGTCATATTTGGGCTAAAACAGATTAATTAAAATACGTATTTTGTGTATTTATTTAGGCAGCACGGTGGCTCAGTGGTTACCACTGTCGCCTCAGAGCAAGAAGGTTATAAATCATAATATTGTAGTGTAAACATAAAGCAATCATGACAAACTATATGTCATTTGCAAGCTTAAAGTGACTAGTTTCCATATCTGCTGACTGATGTTTAATAGATAATACTGGGAAACAGTTATGTATTTATTCGGCTCATCAGAGTTGTCAAACATTACTTTGCTACAGCAATCCACATGTAAACATGTTTAAGTGGCTAAATTCAAATCAAATTCCACCAAACAGCTCGTACTACTTTATAATCTTTTATAGTCTTCTCTACAAGAATTGTTAAAAGTATTCAAAAATATGGTTCATATTCCTCAAAAAAACATGCACAGAAATAGTGGACGCCCTTATATGGTCATCAGTGTTAACAGGATGTCATCTGGTGGTCATGCGTGGTACTGCACACAAACAAAATTACTAAAACCTCATTTTTTTTGTGATATCAACTTCGAAATTGGAATATATTTTGCTCAGATAGTTAGCTGTGATGTTCTGTCATATTTGGGCTTAAATAGATTAATTAAAATACGGATTTTATTTGTATATTTTGGCAGCACGGTTGGTCAGAGGCACAGTCGCCTCAGAGCAAGAAGGTTATAAATCATAATGTTGTAATGTAAACATAAAGCAATCATGACAGACTATATGTCATTTGCAAGCTAAGATATTACTATTGATAGATATTGCTTTGCAATGGTTATTTATAATTTGGCTCCTCATAAAAACATTGCTTTGCTACAGCAATCCACATGTAAACATGTTTAAGAGGCTAAATTCAAATCAAATTCCACCAAATTACCTGTACTACTTTAGAATTTTATGCCTACTTTACGAATATTGTCAAAAATACGGGATCATCCCTTATATGGTCATCAATGTGAACTGGGTGACATCTTGTGGTCAAGTGTGGTGCTGCACACAAACAAAATCCTAATTAAATTATAAATTCTTATTAAACAAAAGCTTATTTATGAGATTTTGACTTCAGGTTTGGAATATAACTTGCTCAGATATTTAACTTTGCTTTTTTCTGTCATAATTAGACTAAACAGGTTAATTAAAATACTTATTTTCTGTAATTATTTAAATATACTTTTATTGTTTTATTATTTTCATAAACAACAGCACAAAACTTTAGTTATATTTAACTTTTTGAATGTTAACTTCAATCTGACATGTCTTCTTTAAAGTGAGACCAAGCTTAAAATCTATGCATTAAATCTATGAATTGTATGCATATAATTTAAGTCATGTTTATGCTTATGTTCATAACATGGATGTGACAGTTGAGGGGTTAATGTATGATAGAACTAAAAACAGTGGTTATAAATAGACATTGGGTGATTTTCCTAACTGAAATGAGTTAAGGATTGGATCTGGAAACTGTGTTTTATACATCAGCTGAAGAAACTAAGCCAGGTTCATTATTGATATGTACCCCTATATACAATTCTGGAGAGTGCGAAATACATCCCAGGAGATACGTTTCTAGCAGAGGCTGCTGTGTACGCTTTTTCAGATCTCAGATTTCTCTCGCCAGTGCCATCCATGCCTGCTGTTCTCTCGTAAATCCACCAGAAGCCACTGATGACTGACCGAGTGACCCACCCCACCCCCTTCCCTTAAACCCAACCGATAGTGTTTTCAATAGGAATTCAAAAAAAAAAAAAAAACTCGCGGCAGCCTGATTTTTACCATGTTTTCAGATTTTACTACATTCTCACCCTCTATTTTACTTGTTTACATTGTTGTAAACTCAAGTCTATCAATGTAAATGGTGAGCTACTGGGCAAACTGGTAACCGTGGAAAAGACGTGCACATGGAGGCAAGTGGTCAACTGGTAGCATGAAAAGAAACAGATGATGGCAGTGGTGTCATACCACTCCCTAGCGTTCATTTTAAGGGCGAAATGCAGCCATATGTAGCTCTGGATACATAATTGGCGCCCTCCAGAAATGTACACGGTGGTACGTATTCACAATGAGCCTGTGTTGGAAGAAACGGATTGATCATGATTGTAAACACACCGAGCTGAAAACAAAAAAAAACCTGTGCTGGATCTCATTCACAGCCATCCAGTATTTACAAAAGCAATGTTTCTGAGCGTCATTTAGCTGCACACTTCACAAATCACTACTAAAATAGTAGAAGTGGTTGAGAATAACATGTATATGCTGATATAATCCATAACAGAAGCTGCATCACTCTACTAAACAGGCCATGAATGACTTTTAACTGAAAATACACTGTATTTATTGTGCACTTGTGTGCTGGAGATGCTTCTGAGAGAGGTCTGGATGAGATGAATGGTTTATTTTTGTTTTGTTTTTTGTAAATAGAGCTGTAGGTTTTATTTTGAACATGTGTTTTAATATGTTTAATGTAGAATGTACTCTACTGTATGAAATATATCGGACAACACCTTGTTTTGTGGGTTTCATCTCATTTGTCAACACTTTAAACACACACATACATTAAAAATAGATCATTTTCATCACTTGAATTAATTTAAAAAGTTTGCAGAAAAAAAAGTTTATTAAAGAAAAGATAAAAACTGTTGAATTAAAAATGAAAATAAAAAGTTTTAATAAAAAAAGTACAAACAGTGAACAAACATCTACTCTCACCGGCCGCTTTATTAGGTACACCTTACTAGTACCGGGTTGGACCTCTTTTGCCTTCAGAACTGCCTTAATCCTTTGTGGCAAAGATTCAACAAGGTACTGGAAATATTCCTCAGAGATTTTGCTCCATATTGACTTGATAGCATCACACAGTTGCTGCAGATTTGTCGGCTGCACATCCATGATGTGAATCTCCCGTTCCACCACATCCCAGAGGTGCTCTATTGGATTGAGCTCTGGTGACTGTTGAGGCCATTTGAGTACAGTGAACTCATTGTCATGTTCAAGAAACCAGTCTGAGATGATTCACGCTTTATGACATGGTGCGTTATCCTGCTGTAAGTAGCCATCAGAAGATGAGTACACTGTGGTCATAAAGGGATGGACATGGTCAGCAAAAATACTTAGGTAGGCTGTAACGTTGACACCATGCTCAATTGGTACCAATGGGCCTAAAGTGTGCCAAGTAATTATCCCCCACACCATTACACCATCACCACCAGCCTGAACCGTTGACTTAAGGCAGGATGGATCCTGCATTAACAAACAGTTGGACAGGTGTACCTAATAAAGTGGCCAGTGAGTGTATTCAGGTATATGCAGTACACACATATGAATATATAACTTTTTATTTGGAGTTGAAGTACTGCTTTTTCATTTATTATTATTTTTTGTATTTTTAATACATATTTGTAGTTTTTATGTTTTTTTTTCATTTAGTTTTATTTCCGCTTTAAGTTTAACTTCATGAAAATGAGAGGTATTTTTTAATAATAATAATAATAATTCCTTACATTTATATAGCGCTTTTCTGGGCACTCAAAGCGCTTTACACAGTGGGGGGAATCTCCTCATCCACCACCAGTGTGCAGCATCCACCTGGATGATGCGCCAGACCGCACACCACACACCAGCTGATTGGTGGAGAGGAGACAGTGATGAAGCCAATTGAATATGGGGATGGTTAGGAGGCCATGATGGACAAAGGCCAGTGGGCAGATTTGGCCAGGATGCCAGGGTTAAACCCCTACTCTTTTCGAAGGACATCCTGGGATTTTTAACGACCACAGAGAGTCGGGACCTCGGTTTAACGTCTCATCCGAAAGACGGCGCTCACTGAGCAGTATAGCAACCCCGTCATTATACTGGGGCATTAGGACCCACACAGACCGCAGGTTGGGCGCCCCCTGCTGGCCTCACTAACACCACTTCCGGCAGCAACCTAGCTTTCCCATGTGGTCTCCCATCCAGGTACTGACCGGGCACAGCCCTGCTTTGCTTCAGTGGGCGACCATGTGAGAGTTGCAGAGAGCTAGCTGCAGAGGTATTTATTTAGGCAAGTTTATTTATAAAGCACAGTGGCAAGTCAAAGTGCTTTACATAAACAGGAATAAAAGCCAAGTATCAATAAAATAGAAACAAATAATATTAAAAACAGATGAAAACAGCATAAAGTCAGTTTTTGCATGTTCCAAAACACCGGTGTATCATATTTTCTCAATTTACTTTGGGACTTCCCCATACTAGTGATCACCCCCCAGCCCCACTCCCAGCCCCTCTGTGGACTTTTTCGATACCTATTTATTGGACATCTCCAACAGATTTGATTTTTTGACACAGTGATAACGGTAAATATCCGTAAAATTTCCGGAACTACTTTACCGGTAAATTCAAAAAAGTGCTGTTCACACAGGCGAGGACGTTACGGAATTTTTCCGGAAAAGAGCATTCACACATCCATTCCAAAATGCCGGTGAATTCTGACATCATTAACCAGAAATGACCTCTAAACGGCTGCGCTTGTGTTTGTAAACATTTGACTACATTATAAACTCTTCGGATGGATCAGTATTGAGTACAACTCTAATGAAAACATAGGGAAACACTTTCGCATGTCGAGATGTTCATGATATGCGTGTGTGCTGGCGCTCACGGGCACACGCAAAGCTTGAAGGTAAACAAACAACGGATTATCATAAACATTTTATCGATAATTATTTACACAGCATTAAGAAGGAACATAGAAACATTTTCTGACTAACATCTAGCAGCTAAAGGTGTCTGGAAAAAATATTCAAAGGCTTTTATTCTCATAAACCGCGCGCACGTAAATGCGTCTGACTGTTCTGATTGGCTAAAGCAGGTGTCTCACGTCAGCCCGTTCTAGACGTGGACACGCTTATTACGGCAATCTTCCTTCTGCATTCACACAGCGCAGCATTCCGGCAAATTACCGGTAATGTTACAACTTCTCTTTCCGGAAAATAGCCAGAACGAATTTACCGGTATTTTCAAAAAGGACCTGTTCACACATACAATCTTTCCGGAAAATTGCCGGTAATTTTCCGGAAAGGTCTGTATGTGTGAAAGGGGCTAATGTCTCGGATGTCGCTTAATTATGCTGCTTATCCACAGAGACAGATCTACCAGTATGGTGATGGCCCAAGTTAAATCTTTTAACTGCCCAATCATATACCGTTTTTCCATATTTCAAAACACCGGTGTATCATATTTTCTAACTTTACTCTGGGACTTCCCTATTCTGGTGATCTGGTGATACCCCCTCCCAGGAGTAGATCGCTTTTAGCCAAATAAAAAAATAAAAAGTCTTGCTCTCAGCCAGATGCCAGCATCCCCCCCATCCCCTTCCCCAATGAAACATTTCTCAGTTTAAAGCAAAAAACAAATAAAATTAAAATAAAGATCTTACACATTTTAAAAAGTCATGAAAAATATGCTAAAATTATTATTATTTAAATAATTAATATTTTAATTTATTATTATTATATTTTTCCTTCGACTTATTTATCAGGGGTCGCCACAGTGGAATAAAGGGCCAACTTATCCAGCGTATGTTTTACGCAGCGAATGCCCTTCCACCTGCAACCCAGTATTGGGAAACACCCATACATTCTCATTCCCTCACATACACATTCATACTCTATGGCCAATTTAGTTCATCCAATTCCCCTTTTACGCATTTCTTTGGACTGTGGGGGAAACTGAAACACCCGGAGAAATCCCACGCCAACACAGGGAGAACATCCAAACTCCACACAGAATTGCCAACTGACCCAGCCAGGGCTCAAACCAATGACTTCTTGCTGTAAGGCCACCACTGAGCCACAGAGTCGCCTAGTATACTAAATTCATTCATTTTCTTGCTGGCTTAGTCCCTTTATTAATCCGGGGTCGCCACAGCGGAATGAACCGCCAACTTATCCAGCACATTTTTAGGCAGCGGATGCCCTTCCAGCCGCATCTTACTCTGGGAAAATGATCCTACATATTATAGTATTTATAAATCTTTTTCATAACGAATGCTCCAGAATATTGTAGTATTAACTTTAGTGAACTGATTAAGTGTAATAAATGTAGTATACTTTAGATTTACCACAGTTCATTGTATAATATATCTTATAGCATTGGGTCGTTTGTTTATATTTCTATAGTTGTTATGTTACCAAAGCAACCATATAATTACCACAACTGATTAATTAAAGTGTTTTACTACAATATTTGTATTTTTTACTTTAAATTACAAGTGTTTTGTCCACATGAATATGTTATAATGCTTCGCAGGCTGCAGGCAACACACTGCAGTTCATCTCCAGTCCTGGTAACGGCGCTCGAGTTTCTAAAACGCTCAAATACACTCAATCTTCCCGCAAGAACCACGAGTCGGTCTTTTTCCGCCCGGACCAGCAGCTACTGCGAGGGTGAGGATTTACTGTCCGAATTATTGTGTCGTTTCACCGTATTCTCCTTCATTATTCACTTCTGTGTTTTCACAAACATCTACATGATATGTTTATGTCAACGAATGTCTCGTGTAAAGCGTGTTGTGTGTCAGATTAAGCTGTTTTAAACGCGGTTTTGCGGCGGAAAGTGTGGAGCGGAGTGTCATGGCGGCTTCTGCCATGTGTGTGAGAGAGACAAACTTACTAAAAACAGGAGAAATATACACTACTCTTCCAATAAACCACACTATTTTTATAATTAATGAAAATATTGATACGTTAACGATGAGTTTGTTGTGCTAACTTGATTAAAAGTAGGTTTCTAAGTCGCAAAGACCTCTCGAACTGTTTGAATTACTTAAAAAACGAATATGAATGTCTTTTAAATCTATAACCGAAGTGTTTGTGTGTCTACATTTTTATCGTTAATGATGGATAAATTACGTGTTATATGAACAGTGATTGTAGTATTAGTTTAATATTGCTGAGTTTGTGTTATTTAATATTTATACAGTCTAAAACACGAATAAAATTACAGAAATATGTGTTTCTGTCATTAATGATGGATAAATTACATGTTATATGCACAAAGATGAAAGTAGTTTAATATTACAGAATTATTTGTATTTCTAATTTGTGCAGTCTAAAACGAAAACAAAACCACAGAAATACTGTTTAGGTGTGGTATTTTTGTCATTAATAATGGATATATTACGTGTTGTATGCACAATAATGCTACTAGTAAATATTTCAGATTTATTTGTATCTCTAATTTATAAAGTCTAAAACAAAACTACAGAAATACTGCACAAGTGTGGTATTTCTATCATTGATGATGGATGAATTTCGTGTTATATGCACAATAATACTATTATTAGTGGTTTAATGTTGCTTGCTTTGTGTTTAAAATTTATACTGACTAAAAACCAACAAAATTACAGAAATACTTTTAAGTGTGGTGTTTCTGCCAATAAAGATGGATGGATTATATGTTATATGCGCAGTGGTGGTACTAGTAGTTAATTATATTTAGTTTAATATTTATGATTCAATTGTTATTTAGAATTCATACAGACGAAAACAAACTGTTGAAACGCTGTATGTGGTATTTTTGTCATTAATGATTGATAAATTATGTGGTGTTTAGAATTTATGCTAACTAAAAACATCAACAAATGAACAAAAGTACTGTATAAGTGTGGTATTTGTGTCAATGATGGATAAATCGTTATATGCTCAATATTGCTGTTAGCATAATATTGCTTAATTTGTGTTATTTAGAATTTGTACTTAAAAACAACAACACAACTACAGAAATACTTTTGTAAGTGTGTAATTTCTGTCATTACTGATTTATAAATTACCTGTTGTATGCACAACAATGCAACTAGTTGTGTAATATTTCTGAATTTGTGTCAGTTAGAATTTATACTGACTAAAAACAACAACAAAACTACAGAAATGCCGTTTAAGTGTGGTATTTCTGCTATTAAAGTTGGATGGATTACGTGTTATATGCGCAGTGGTGGTACTAGTAGTTTAATATTTATGATTCAATTGTTATTTAGAGTTCATACCGACTAAAACGAACAAAAACTGCAGAAACGCTGTATGTGGTATTTTTTTGTCATTAATGATTGATGTAGTTTAAAAGGCTTAACTGGTGGTGTTTAGAATGTAAGCTGACTAAAAACTACAACAAACAAAAATACTGTATAAGTGTGGTATTTGTGTCGATGGATAAATCGTTATATGCTCAATGCTGTTAGCTTAATATTGCTTAATTTGTTATTTAGAATTTATACTGACTAAAAACAACAACAAAACTACATAAATGCTTTTTAAGAGTGGTATTTCTGTCATTGATGATTGATAAATGGCCTGTTGTATGCACAACAATGCAACTAGTAGTTTAATATTACTAAACGTGTTAGTTAGAATTTATACTGACTAAAAACAACAATAAACTACAGAAATACCATTTTAAGTGTGATATTTCTGTCATTAGTGATGATTAATGATGGATAAACATTGTTATGCTTAATGCTGTTAGCTTTATATCACTTAATTTGTGTTACAAGAATTTATACCGACTAAAAACAACAACAAAAGGACACAAATATCTTAAAAATATGATATTTCTGTCATAAATGATGGATAAATTATGCACAAAAATGTTACTAGTTAATACAGAATTGGTGTTATTTTAAACTCATACTGACTAAAAACAACTAAACTGTAAATGTCAAATAATAATCATTAACGGGTGCTTTATTTTTGTCTACAATTGCATCGTTACTGATGCATAAATTGTGTTATATGCACAGTGATACTACTAGTAGCTAAATATTACTGAATTTCTGTTATTAAGAATTTATACTGACCAAGAACAACAACAACAAAAGAATAGAAATACTGTATTAGTGTGGCATTTCTCATTTTATGTTTACTATCTAATATTCTTGACATGTGCCGTTTAAAAACATGTTTAAAGGCTGTAAAATTAGACCTTGTTAGATTACAAAATTCTTGGCTGATGTTCATTTCTCAGTTAAATGCTTATAACTGATTCAAATCCAAAGTTATGATCATTTTATTAAGTGAAGATAATACACACAAAAGTGGGGATTTACACAATTGGTTTGTGTTGGGGCAACAGTGAAGGAATTAAGGTAACCTGTTGGTTTTTACAGATTTTAGTCGATTGAAGCAAAACAATGAAGTTGTCCCCATATAGATGTCAATAATTGTGTTTCAGCTCATTTTAAGTAGTTTGAACAAACGGCAAACATACTTTGAGCTAATATTGGAGCTGTATTTTTCTATCAGCTGGAGCAAATACATGTAATAGGCTATTTCTTACTTTGGATTTTAATGCATTAATGTTTACCAATTAGACTTTATTATATTCATTAATTCTTATATTATAATTTCTATTGTACTTTGTAATTTTTTTGCCATTTAGATAGAATAAAACGTTTTTTACTCTGTGTATACAATAATGCAACACACTACACTTTTATTATATCAGATAAAATTACTGCAGCTTAGGTCAATATGAAAATACCGTATATTGGGGCTGCATGATATTGGAAAAAAACTGACAGTGCCATGTTTTGTTCTGCGATATGAACATAATTTTACCAAATGACTCGAGCTTTGTAAAGAATTAATTTTCTATAATTTAGGATGATTTTGTATGAAAGAAAATCTACATAAATCAAACAGATAACGTTTTCTGGAAAGTCTAACAGTATTCAAGTACAGAAACGAATCACATGCAAATAAATAACACTTCCCTGTATAAAAAAATACATTGAATCTTTAGTATTGCTAATGTTATAGATTTTTATACACAAATGGATTAAATGCACTTAAGATCACATAGTCAGGCCTTTAATAAAAGCAAATAAAAAAAACTTTATATTGTTTAACCTTATAATGTGATGCAAACTCAAATTAGCGTATTGGTTAATATACTGAAACTGAACGAACATTGCAGATCCTGCGATTTGAGCCCTACCTTATATTGTGATAAAAGCTTCAGCAAATAATCGTGACAAGAAAAATCTGATCTGGACAGAACCCTGCTGTGCAACATATTAATTGAGTGTTTTTCTTTTTTTCTGTGACAGTGGCAAAATGCAGATCTTCGTGAAAACGTTGACCGGTAAAACCATCACCCTCGAGGTGGAGCCCAGCGACACCATCGAGAATGTCAAGGCTAAGATCCAGGACAAAGAAGGTGCGTTTGTGGACCTGAACTGATGTTGCAGTGAACATGCAGGCTGGGTTAGGTGCCAGATAACTCATGTCTGTCTTTTTCCTCAGGAATCCCGCCTGATCAGCAGCGTCTGATCTTCGCTGGTAAACAGTTGGAGGATGGACGCACACTGTCAGACTACAACATCCAGAAAGGTGAGCAAATATTAGACTTTCTTTAAAAACACAATCACCTTTATTTAGTATTTAAATAATTCATGTAAATTAAAAAAAAATTAGTTTTGCACAATTTACTTTTTTCTTATTTATATTATCAAAGAACAATAAAACATGCTGGTAACACTTTACAATAAGGTTGTTTTAGTTAATGTTAGTTAATACATTTACTAACATGAACAAACAATGAACAATATATAAATTGCAGTATTTATTAGGGGTGTAACGATACACTCAGCTCACGATACAATATGTATCACCATATAATGTTCACGGTTCGATATGTATCACGATATTTGGAATAAAAATTGAAAATTAAACTGAAATGCAAATTTTATTTTAAAAAATTTAATTACCAAGTAAACTATTTTTTATGTATTTCTTTTGTTTCAAAATGTTGAACTGTACCATTAAGAAAATAAATTAAACAGGACTGTCTCTGGAAAATAAAACAATTAAAAAAACTTCTTATAAAATATTATTGAAATGATTCAATTCAATTGAATTTAACAGTAAGAGCTTAAGGCTTTGCTTGGTCACTTGCGTTTTTTTGTGTGTGCAATCCACATTTCCAGGTAATCAGCAGTTCTTTAAAATAATCCTGAACTTATGTGTGTCTGTCTGAGAGGTTTTTATGGATGGCTGTCTTCATGTTGGGCATGATGAGTGACAGGGTGGCCGTCTGTTCATTACACAGCACAGTCCTGGCTCTTTTCAGCAGTTTAGGCAGGTTTACTATTTCTTTGGCGTCGCTGATGTCGGCACTATCAAATGTATCATGTTGACGTGCATTTTTGTGTACCTCTGTACTCAAAAGAGTTCATGCTAATCGTAATCATAACTCTAAAATGCGATATGATTATTTAAATAATGTGCACGCTTTCGGTTTCATTTCCACTGCTGTTCATTCCTCCCATGCAGCTCCTGAACGATCACTCTGTTCCACAAACTGAATGTTGTTTACTACTTTATTACCTGTTCGTCACAACCTGCAGGTTCTGTTCACTGAAGCAGACGCGCGCGTCTATCATAGTCCGCCCTCTGTAGTAACAGCTCACGTCATGTGTGATTTTGCGGCCGCCAATACATCATTATATGAAGACAGAATGATATTTTAGGGTGAATTGTACCTTATAAATACAGTATGTGACTCTTTCAACAGCATTAGGAGGAATCCATGTCGCTGTGCAAAGTATGTAAATCACTGTGAAGACTTTACAACTTCGGCTATGTTTGACCCAGTATGCGTCAAAAGCGGGCGAGTCTAAAGCAATGACTGTACAACCGAAATGTTGCCAGACGTCTCATTTTGAGAGCAATTTTGCATCGCAATAAATCGTACAACGATAAATCGTTACACCCCTAGTATTCATGTTAATGAAAATAAAGTCATTCAATGTTAGTTGATGTTAACTCAGTGCATTGATGTTAACAAGCATCATTCGAATGTTCATAATGCATTAGTGATGGTCGTAAATACCTTAACCTTATTGTAAAGTGTGACCAACATACTTTTGCAATGTAATTTTTAATGTTATCAGACAATGATTTTTATCTAGAGAGACTTTAAAGGAAACATTAATAAATCTGAATACTTCTAAAATTCAAGAATTTTTCTATCAAAAGTAAACCTGATGCTGTTAGATTTTTATTTTACACCACTAGAAAGCATGTTGCTGAAGAGCAAGCTGTCTTTATGTCAGTTTGAGGTCATTTATGTGTATTTGCATTTATTTAGTCTCTTGCCGTTCTGCTTGATGTGTTTGAATTGGCGTCCTGTTCACTGTGGTTTGATGTGATCTATTTCCCCCCCTCCGGCAGAGTCCACTCTTCACCTGGTGCTGCGTCTGAGAGGAGGAATCATCGAGCCTTCTCTCCGTCAGTTAGCTCAGAAATACAACTGTGAGAAGATGATCTGCCGCAAGTGAGTTCACTTCGTCATGTGATATACATTAAAAATCCTTAAAGAGCAGGTCCTGTGGTATTTTATAATGTCTTAATATCATTGGAATCTCCTAGAACAGGTTTGAACGCATCAAACATCAGAAAACATTCAGAATGATTAGTATCTGCTTAAGTGGTGACGTATAAAATACTGTTTCTGGGTGTACACACAACAGTCTCTGAACTTGCTGCATCACATATCAATATTTTATATACCGAGACGGTGATTTTTCTAAAGTATACAATGCTTTTTAAACGTTTATTATTATCATTTGTTGAGTCTCCCCATACCGTTTGATAGAGCACTTCAATCCAGCTTCTCACGGCGTCACACTGAAGCGGCTAAGAATCATTTTGTGATTGATTTCAATACAGTTTGCTTGAATCAATGTAAGCCCCTCCCCCTTCTACGAGCCACATCTGCTCTTATTGGTCAGCTGGTCATAGTCCCTTTTAGTTGGTCTACTTCGCCTGGAAAAGACCATTTCAGAGGGGCGGGGATTATGCAAATGTGTTACTTTTATTTCTGTTTTGGAATGCTGCATATCAATAGCAGGTAAAAGATTCAGAATCACCTTAACGAGTCATATTTCTGAGTTGACTTTTTATTGAGCGACGATATCATTAGGCTTTGCAGACTCTTTACAAGGACGGCTAAATTACAAACTGCAAATGACACTTTTGGAAAAACCCACATGGTCTGCTCTTTGAGGACTAAAAAATATATATAGTGGTCCCTCATTAATCGCAGGAGTTCAGAATATCCCGCAACAGGTGAAATCTGCAAAGTAGTCGTCATTATTTCAGATGTTTTAAGGCTGAGACCCCTCTCTACACACTTCATACACTTTTCTCAGACAGGCATTAACACGGGGCATCTGCAGGGTTTTAAAAAGTCGTAAAACGTCTTAAATGTCAAAAAGTAATTTTTAGGCCTTAAAGTCCTAAATCTACTGAAATGTTGTGTTGTAGGTTTTAAATCTTTTTTTTAACAGAGTCTGTTCTTCGTACCTTGCTTAAATGATCTAAGATGATTTGGCAGATCCTGGATCTTTTAATCTTGATAACTGATCTCTCTCTAATTTGGTTCTTCAAACGAGTTCGCGAATCAGATTAGAATGTCTGGATAAACTGATCTGAGATCGCTGCATGTATTGTGAAGGACAGATCTATCGATCCTCGAAATCATGATCAGCAATGCAACGATTGGCTGACGGCAGCGTAATGACATCATCTGATTAATATTCAATTATCCATGTGAGCAAAATTACATCACATTAGCAGTAAACCGTGTGTTAAATATGACACGCGATAACCTTCCACATTTGTTGTGAGCTGCAGGCTTTACACTTTCATGTGTCAAGAGTATTCATCATGTTTCAATGCAAATCAATGTATTTAGTTCTACATTTAAAAAGATTTTCTTTATTATAGTAGCCGTTTTTTAATCGGTGTAAAGAATAACTGGTTGTTTACAAAAGCATTTTGATATTGGTAAAGGCGTCTGCAACTTTTGTGAAGCATCAAATCACCGGCATATGAACTATCAAAACATGTTTATGACTGCTGAAATGTATTATTGCTTTAAAAAAGTCACATATTGTGCATTTCTATTATACACAAATTGTACTAAAGTGTCTAAAGTTCATATCAATAAGTTTTCTCTTTGCACCACCAGGTGGCAGTCTTTGTACTTTCATTTCGAGGGTGCAGATTGCATACGTTTTATTAATATGTATAACTTTATTTATTTTATTAATAACTATAACTTTTATTTATATATATATATATATATATATATATATATATATATATATATATATATATATATAAATAAAAGTTATAGTTATTAATAAAATATATATCATATATATATATATATATAGAGTTAAAAATAGTTACTATTTCCCAAGTGTATATAACTACTACTTTAAGAAAATATCAGAATTCAGAACACACTTTCTGTATTATCTTTGCTTGAACTGAGCCGATCTAATCCTGTTTATATGAAATGAACCTGCTTCCGATCAGGTTTGACCTAGCAGAACTGTTGCTATGACAACAACTCTCTGATCAGCTTTGAAAAACGAAACGATCCTGGATCCAAATCCAGCTAACTGAGTAATCCACATAAGAAGAACAGACCCCTGGTCTTAATTTTTCTTGGTTCATGTAAAGCTACCCAATCTGGTCAATCCATTAACACCCATACAATCACCAACAATCCCAATCTCAGTTAAACTTTTGATTTAAAAATAACATTTAATTACTTTCCTTACAGTAACATTTGCTTAAATTCTTAATTTATTTACTGCGGCGGATACTGACCTGACCTTTATTTTCATTATTAAATTATCATTATTATTGTATTTTTAAGTTATAATCACTTAAGTTTTATAATAACAATATTTTGATAGGTCAAGTAAAATTCTTTTCCATCTAGGATATTCGAAAAAAAATCCTTCTCATTTAGCCCTGTATACGTCTAAAATTTCATTCATAATGGTCCTAAACATGTCTTAAATTTAACTTGGTGAAACCTGCAGAAACCCTGTAACATTTTTACACTTCTCTCTCGGTTAAACACTCTCAAAGTTCAATGTCCAGTATTATAGAATGACACTAAAAACCAAAACCTGTTGTCAAGTGCAAACATCCATCTTTGTCCACAAAAGTTTCATAAAGCTTTTTAGCTTTTGTGTGAATGATGTTGGCTTCCAGCGTAATGTTCTTTATCCTGTAGTCGCTGATCCACAAAACTAAAGTAGACTCCATCCTTAAGAGGGTCGCACACCAGATGCGCCATGCACATGACAGTTGGTAATAACATACACCAGACGCTTGCATTCACGTTATTTCAAATGAATTTATAAGGTGGCGCTCTGTTGCATGCCAGAAATATGAGCAGTGTCCTGAGTCGTAGCTGGGTACCATAGACAGCTGCTGACTTGCGGCACTGCTGTGCATACCCTGATATAAACCTGTTTACAATTTTAAAATGACCCCCCTTTACGATGGTCTTGCTGTGAACTGTTACAACTATTTTTCTTCCTTGTTGGAACTCGCACTGCTAGTGATCAAAGATTTATGTTAATCTGGCAAGCTGAATGTATTCTGTACTGTACAGGAAACACAGGAAATTGATTGATAGCGGACTACAGCCAATCAGAACGCAATGCGCTGTTAAAAAAAGTATATCAAAACCGTTACAGCCAGAAACCACTGTGTAAATAAATATATAGTTTTTTTTTTTTTGTTTTCTACCACTACTTTTCTAGAGAAAATATGTTTTTATTTTTTTGTACTGCATTTGGGTCAGCAGAGATGTTAAATCTTTTTCAGTAAGGAAACACTTTTTCCCTTACAAAATGCACATTTTTATATAAAAAAAAAAACAAACAAAAAAAAAAAAATATATATATATATATATAAAATGCAATAATTTTCCATTTTGATTGAATCCAGTTGATTACTTTGTACTCTTATTTTTTTTCATCACAAAAAGCAATCTACCCCACTGACTCTAGCGTGTGTGTGTGTGTGTGTGTGTGTGTGTGTGTGTGTGTTCAGGTGTTATGCTCGTCTGCATCCTCGTGCCGTCAACTGCCGCAAGAAGAAGTGCGGACACACCAACAACCTGCGGCCCAAGAAGAAGCTGAAGTAGACGCTCGGCCGACTCTGCATCTGAAACACTTTACTGTTGTTCTAATAAAATCTGGATCAAACCATCTGAACCACTTTCACTCTTCATTCTAAAGCAGGGGTGTCAAACTCAATTCCTGGAGGGCCGAAGCCCTGCACAGTTTAGTTCCAACCCTGCTCCAACACACTTACCTGTAGGTTTCAAACAAGCCTGAAGGACTCAATTAGTTTGATCAGGTGTGTTTAATTAGGGTTGGAACTAAACTGTGCAGAGCTGCGGCCCTTTTGGAACTGAGTTTGACACCTGTATGCTACAGCATTTCTTTAAATCAGATGTTAAAGTCTCAAGCTACTCTTGCATTTATTTTATTACAACGAAGTATACAACTGAAGTTCTTCATATTTGGCACATACAAAACGTCTCAGAGGGGTGGTGATTATGCAAATGTATTACTTTGGTCCTGTTTTACACAGATCAGTAGCAGGTAAAAGATTCAACTTTTTTTTTGAGAGAGAGAGAAAGAGACGTTATCTTTATGCTTTGCAGATTCTTTACATCAGGGGTGTCACTCAATTCCTGGAGAGCCGCAGTCCTGCAGAGTTTAAGTCCAGCCCTGCTTCAACCCCTATTTCAGACATGGAATAGACTAATCAAATTAGCTGACCAATTAGAGCGGTGTTGGCTTAAGGGGGAGGGGCTTACGTTGATTAAATGAACCATATTGAAATCATCTCAAAATGATACTAATATTAAACAGTCTGAATGTTTTCTGATCTTGCTACAGCTAAAATGGCTACAAAACTGCAACACCTGAGAATATTTTATACCTGCTATTGTAGAACCACAGCTGTAGAATATATCAGTCACACTTTACAATAAGATTGTATTAGTTAATGTATTTACTAACATGAACTAGGTTTCAACAACACTTGTAAAGCATTTAATGATCAAGACTCAACATTCACTAATGCATTATTACAATTCAGATTCATGCTTCTCATTAATGCACATCATGTTAACATTAACAATAAACCACTTTATTTCCATCAGCTGATGTTAATAAACTAATAAATGCATGTTGATAATTACATTACAATAAGGTTGTATTAGTTAAAGTTACCAATATATCAAACACAAGTAAACAATCATTTGTGACCAAATATTAGTCTACAGCAGGAGTGTCATACTCAATTCCTGGAGGCCTGCAGTCCTGCCGAGTTTAGATCCATCCGGCCCTGCTCCAACACCTATCTGTAGGTCAGGGGTGTCAAACTCAATTCCTGGAGGGCCGAAGCCCTGCACAGTTTAGTTCCAACCCTGCTGCAACACACTTACCTGCAGGTTTCAAACAAGCCTGAAGGACTCAATTAGTTTGATCAGGTGTGTTTAATTAGGGTTGTAACTAAACTGCAGAGCTGCGGCCCTTTTGGAACTGAGTTTGTCACCTGTGCTGTAGGTATAAAACAAACCTAAAGCACTTCAGTTTGATCAGGCGTGTTTAATTAGAGCTAGAACTAAACTGCCTAGAGTTGCGGCCCACCTTTTACAAAGACATAACAAACCAAATGTTTTTCCCAATTCATTTCTAAAATTCATTACAAAGTGTTCTCATAAATTGCATTTCAAGTTTTAAATGGTTAATTAAAAGCTTTAGCATTTTTAAAGCGCTGTACTGATGAAATATTGAGTATTTAAGGTTAAAATTGGTCCAAAACAGTTCTACGGTATTCATTAATAAAACTTTCAAAGTAATTGAAAGTTGGGCGACGCAGCGGGTAGCACGTTCGCCTCACAGCAAGAAGGTCGCTGGTTCGATCCTCGGCTCAGATGGCGTTTCTGTGTGGAGTTTGCATGTTCTCCCTGCGTTCGCGTGGGTTTCCTCCAGGTGCTCCGGTTTCCCCCACAGTCCAAAGACATGCGGTACAGGTGAATTGGGTAGGCTAAATTGTCCGTAGTGTATGAGTGTGTGGATGTTTCCCAGAGATCGGTTGCGGCTGGAAGGGCATCCGCTGTGTAAAAACTTGCTGGATAAGTTGGCGGTTCATTCCGCTGTGGCGACCCCAGATTAATAAAGGGACTAAGCCGACAAGAAAATGAATGAATGAATAATTGAAAGTTTAAGACTACAGTACAATGTTACACTAAAATGTGACTTAAATATATATAACAGATGCCAGCTAGTGAAGTGCTGTGCAGGTAAACCTCACTCCTCTTACCTGAAAAGGCGCTTTAGTGACAGACGCTAGAGGCCACGGTCTTTTGCCTCATTGGTAGCGCAACCGACTTCCATACAAAGAATTGCGGTTCAATCTCAGCTCAGCACAGGTTGGGTGTAGTACACAGGTGTTAAACTCAGTTCCAAAAGGGCTGCAGCTCTGCACAGTTTAGTTCCAACCCTAATTAAACACACCTGATCAAACTAATTGAGTCCTTAAGGCTTGTTTGAAACCTACAGGTAAGTGTGTTGGAGCAGGGTTGTGCAGGGCTTCGGCCCTCCAGGAATTGAATTTGACACCCCTGGTGTAGTAGGACAAATGGATGTTTCGATACACTTTAACAGAGTGATAATATTTGCTTTGACTATTTAGCCCCTTGTAAAAGTAAATGGTTAAACATGTTTTGGTAAATTCACAATTACTGTTTCCATGAAGAATATTTACATGGACATTCTCTTTTTTGTAACAAACTAAATGTGCAAAAACCTTTAGTTTTAAGACTAACTGTTTGTATTTACACATAACTGAGCAGAATCAGAAGCCAGGGGTCTGTTCTTCGTACGTGGTTTACTTAGTTAGCTGGATTTGGATATTGACGATTTGACACGATACAGGATTGTTTCGTTCTTCAAAGCTGATCCGAGAGTTGTTGTCATAGCAACAGTTCTGCTAGCTCAAACCTGATCGGGAGCAGGTTCAATTCATATAAACAGGATTAGATCGGCTCAGTTCAAGCAAAGATAATACAGAAAGTATGTTCCCAATTCTGATATTTTCTTACAGTAGTAGTTATACACACTTGGGAAAATAGTACTTATTTTTTAACTATATATATATATATATATATATATATATATATATATATATATATATAAAGTTATAGTTATTATTAAAATAAATAAAGTTATATTAATAAAACGTATGCAATCTGCACCCTCGAAATGAAAGTACAAAGACTGCCGCCTGGTGCTGCAAAGAGAAAACTTATTGATATGAACTTTAGACACTTTAGTACAATTTGTGTATAATAGAAATGCACAATATGTGACTTTTTTTAAAGCAATAATACATTTCAGCAGTCATAAACATGTTATGATAGTTCATATGCCGGTGATTTGATGCTTCACAAAAGTTGCAGACGCCTTTACCAATATCAAAATGCTTTTGTTATTCTTTACACCGATTAAAAAAACGGCTACAATAATAAAGAAAATCTTTTCTAAATGTAGAACTAAATACATTGATTTGCATTGAAACATGATGAATACTCTTGACACATGAAAGTGGAAAGCCTGCAGCTCACAACAAATGTGGAAGGTTATCGCGTGTCATATTTAACACACGGTTTACTGCTAATTTGATGTAATTTTGCTCACATGGATAATTGAATATTAATCAGATGATGTCATTACGCTGCTGTGCCGTCAGCCAATCGTCGCATTGCTGATCATGATTTCGAGGATCAATAGATCTGTCCTTCACAACACACGCAGCGACCTCAGATCAGTTTATCCAGACATTCTAATCTGATTCGCGAACTTGTTTGAAGAACCAAAATAGCGAGAGATCAGTTATCAAGATTAAAAGATCCAGGATCTGCCAAATCATCTTAGATCATTTAAGCGAGGTACGAGGAACAGACCCCTGTATTGTCTATATAGTACACAGTGAAATTTGGAAACACCACTCCTTTAAGTTTGCATAAAGAATATTGGAAAACATACAAGTCTCACACACAAAAAAGACGCATCTTAATGTAAAACAATATTTATTGAGCAAGTTCAGTTCATCCACCGAGAGCATGGTGTGTTACAGTGAGATCTGCTCTGGTCTTCAGCACAGTTTGACTCGATAGTGCAGAACGAAGCTATCCTCATATTATCACCGGACTATGATCGAGAGCTGCAGGACGAACTGGGAAAACTCCCGCACAGCGCAGAATAACAAGGCTCAGAGTCAGACATCAGAGGAAAACGATGATGGAGTTTCTCATCACACCTTAAACAAGCGCTCAGTTTTCCTCCAAATCCCAGCAGCACATGCTCTCAGAGTGAACATACAGCGCAGTACACAACCTCCAGCACTGAGAAGAGGAGATAGAAAAGAGCACACCTGTTCACCTTACGCTGGACACATTTATAAGCAGGATGGGGAAGTAACCATATATTGAAGGAATTGTTGATGATTTTAACTTTGTCCTATGAATTAATAGACTAATTCTGTTTTTCATTAATTACAGCTCATGCTGATTGTTTATCCTCGAATAACTTTAACCTTGCTCCATAACAGCTGTGGCTTCGTGTGACTGCTATCCGAAAAGTTAACTCCTCTGTACTTGTTATCAACAAAATGTTTGTGTGTGTGTGTGTTTGTGTGTGAATACACTCCAGAATCTATTGATTAGCTGAAGGCTCTAGAACAGTCATCTGAAGCGTTGTCATACAGTGTTATGCTGGATGTCATCAATAGTCCTGCATTTACTAATGCCGAGTTCAGACTGCATGATTTTCAGAGAAGTCGTGTCACAGATGTGTTCACACTGCTTGACTATCTGGGCTTGCGTTTTGTCGCTGCTTTGTTTACACTGCAAGATGGATCAGCGTCAGGGACTTTCACATTGCATGACTTTACTATAGGAAGAATCGCCGACAACTTCGTCTAAACTACGTCTCACAGCCAAAAACACGTCGTATATCTTTTGTTATTAACTACATAATGAGAAAGAAGCCTTTAATGGGGTAGAGCATGTACATGTTTGCTCACCTGGGTTTAAAGGGAATTAGCCATTTCTCCTCAACGTTGATAATAAACTAATTTCTTTCTGTATGAAACGTCAAACAGACACGGCTGCTCCTGAGTCCTGTCAAACC